GCCAATGGCTGGTATCCTCGATTGTTATAAACTATATCCTAGCAAATCCGGTATTTTTTGATTCATGATTTCCCTGCTTTTACGCTTTCTTCTTTATACCATGCAGCGAGACTGAAAATTTTGATGTTTGATTTAGGTAGATTTGGGAACTTTAACGTATAGTTAATAGCAGTGGGATCGTATAGGTGATCGGTTAGCAATAAAAAACAGGAATTAAAAAAAGATGTAGCAATGTGACTTCTGAACCGGTGAGCTAATTGATCGACAATCCAGAAAGAATCCGGCTCAACAAATTCCTAATATGCCTTGCCAGCCCCCTTTAGCTGGTTCTGAACTCTAAAAAATGACGGTATGTGGCTATTTTTTGCGGGAAACAGCCCATTTTATTGAATCACAATTTTTTGCGACTTTCGCATTATCTTGGAGTCAACTTTTTTGCTTAGGATCTTAGTTTAAATAAAAACCAGGGTTGAAAAGCCGCTTCGCGACTTTTCAACCCTGGCCCCGTCATCCCCTAATACTTTATCACTTTGCATAAACACCTGAATTCCTGTGCAGAACAATGAAAAGCGCGTCCTCTCCCCCATTATATAGGCTCTCCCCACTTCCGGTGCATGCAAATTGATTCCTAACAAAGAGGCCGAGCGAGATTTTTACAAAAACTTAATTTTAATATAGAAAATAGCTGATTTTTAGAAATCTCATATGCGTGCAGTCGGGTCATGACCATTACGCGCCTAATGACGTATCATACGTACGCTTAACTTCCTGTCCTATTGAGATACGACTGGAACATACGGACGGAAGTTGCATGCAAATGCACACACACACACACACACACACACACACAAACACTATTTTTTTATATATAGTAAGATAAGATAGTGGGAGCTTTTTAAATGGTCTTTTACTATTCCTAAGCATAAAAGCTTTACAAATTTTTATTAAAAAAATATCAAAACTCTCGATCCTCCGCCCAAAATTTTTAAAACTGTTTAAAAGGTTTTAGATGGTTTAGATAGCTAGTTTAAACATATGTAGTTATATTCCACTAAAAACACTATTAAAACACTTTTGATTACTAGAGAATTCCAGATTTTTGTAAAAAATCCTTTCTTTGTTACCAACATTGCTAATTAGCAAAAAACCAGGGTTGAAAAACCGCTTCGCGGCTTTTCAACCCTGGCCCCGTCCCGATCCCCAAACTGTCTCCACTTTGGATGGCTCTGGCCAAATGCGCTTGGCAAAAAATGAAAACGATCTCCTTTGCTGGTTTATATAGGCGTCAACCACTTCCGGCGAATGCAAATTCTTGTTTAACAAAGTGGTGTGACCGAATTTTAGCGAAAATCTACAATTTAATATCGAAAATACCATTTTTTGTAAAATCTGGTAGGTCGGCAGTCATGCCAAGCCGATTTCTCACCTAACTACATATCTCCCATACCTTAAAAACCTTCCCCTGACCCAATACGTGTGGAACAGCCGGACGGAAGTTGCATGTAAATGCACACACACAGACACTATTTTTTTATATATAGTAGGATATTTTCGCGAGTATCATGATTACTTGAAACATCAAATTTTACCTTTTATCAAAAATTGAATATTATTCACATTATTGCTTGATTATCAGAAAGTCCGCAAAATTCGCATCAACAAAAATCCACCTGATTGAACAAAATATAATCAAAATATAAATCATTTAACAGAGCTTAATAAAATCTATTGTCTTTTTTATTAATTCTGTAGAGCTAACAGATTATTGAGGGGCTTATCAGGTTTCGTGGACTCGCAAAACACGCCCCAAGAAATTGCCTCGATAATTCTTCGGGGGGATTATCGGGTCATTTTGGGCCCCTAAAGTGCATGTGTACTTTACCAGCATTCCCCCTGTCTTTTTTCCTGGCCTCCCTCCGTTCCCACACCTCCAAAAAACGCCCTATCGCACCGGTGCATCTTTTAGTGAACCAGATGGGAGTCGCACTCCTCAATGTGCCGTTTTTTTATCCCTCACGCTTGCCCTGATGACAGCCCGTAATTAACGCCCCGGAAAGGCGCGTTCGAATTTTTGGTACTGGACTGTTAACGGGGAGAGCAAGTTCACTTTCATTTTTCTTCCCCACCAGTTATTCTAGATTTAATTTAATTTTTATAGTGTTTTGAGTTGTTTTTGATTTGGAGAAAGTTATTAATGTTTCAAATTTTTTAATGTGTTTTGGCCTTTTTTTATTGGTTATTTGTTCTTGCGTTATTTTTTCTTGATTTGGTCATTTTACCAACAAGTACGAATAGACATAATTTTTGATCCGTTTTTATGTACAAAAAAAACCATATATAGGAAAAGTTAATGAAAATCTTACCGCTCGTACTCATTTTGTAACGCGGTTAATACTAAATCATCTGTTTTTTTAGTGCGGTCGCTACTGGACTGTTAGCAGGAGAAATAATTCCGATTGTTCCAACTATTGATAGTCTTTTAACCCACCGGTTGATAAGTTATCATGTTTTTATGGTGTTTTTATTAAATAAGACTTTAAAACAAACCTGATAAAAACTTTCTTTCTTATTGAGTTTTCAAATCGTATGTTTCTGGGACCATCCAGCCGAAAATACGTCGAGACTTGCTAATTGTACTTCTTCCTTACATGCATGCTTTTGTAAAAAAGAGCGTGTTTTTTCTAAATTAAAGAGCTATCGCGCGGTGAAATGATATGAAAAATACGGTTTGATACCTGCCGGTTTCTAGCACTCCGTGAAATTTGGTGAAAATTCGGCAGCTTCGATTAATTTTCTATGTTTCATCGCCCCAGATAGATCTCTTCACTTTTTTTGGTGATTAATCACATTCAGGCCCGTACGGAAGCCGAAATTTCGGGGGGCACCCACCCAAAAATTTTTGGCGACCTCTTCCCCCCGGCCGCCACTTTCAAAACCTTCGAAAATAGCGACAATAACAGCGCCGCAGGCGAAAAAATTTAGAAAACCGCGTCCGAAACGCTTAAATTCGTGTGAAACCACAACGGAAACGGTGCGCGCAAGCGAACTTTTGTTCAGCAAAATGGTGCACTAATGAAAGGAGCGCCGCAGGCAAAAATTTTTAGAAAAATAGGTTTTCTAGAAGTAAAAATCGTTTCGAAACAGTGATAGAAACAGTGATAGAAACAACAAAACGAGCGCCGCAGGCAGAAAAATTTTTGCGAAAAAACATAAGGGAACTTTCCTTATGAACTTTTCGGACCTCGACCGATTTCGGGGGGCACCGTGCCCCCGGCGCCCCCTAGAGATGTTATTATTCAACTAAGATATGCAAGCAACTAACGTTCTCGCACTAAGGCTCGCCGAATGCCAAATTTCCTTATTCAGTTCCGATTAGCTTAACCAAATCAGCAAAATCTTATTCAGAATGAAAAAGAATTGCTATGAAAAAATGGAAATACCCGGAAATTCTGTTGATGGAAATCGCACTTTGCCAAATTTTAGCAAAGCAAAGTCAGGAATGAGCTTATTCGACTAAGATTCGACTAATTCAACTAAGCTTAGTCGAATTACGGATTTCTTATTCAGATTCGGATCTCCTTAATCGATTAAAGGATGCTTATTTGAATATGAATGAGCCGAATCGACTTGGTTGAATTTCCGGTTTAGTCGTATCTGAATAAAAACATCTCTAGTGCCCCCCCCCTCGTACGGGCCTGATCATATTGAGTAATTCGCGCGCTCGTGGCCAAAAGTTATTATTTAATTCCAAGAATTAGATTAGTACTAATTTTTTAATTAAAGCAGCCTTAGTATGAGTGTGGAAATGGCTATTTTTACACATTGCCCTAGCTTATTTGTATGCCCAATTCAACGGCTCGGTGCTAAAAATAGGGGTGTGTTTTGTTTATACATTGTTTATTTGTTTTAATATTTATATTTGTTGTAGTAACATGTATTTTGCCGTAGGCTATTAATCATGCCAGTCACGCCCCCCAGGGCACATTTGTCGCGACACTTCACTTGCTATGTTTAATCCAAAATTCGATCTGTCCTAGAACCTCTTCTTCCCGACAACCCTGGCTAAACGTTGTCTTATTTCATGGGATTATGAATTATTAAGTAGCTAAAACCATAAAAGTATATAAATAAAAATGTAAAATTTATAGAACTATATATTAAACAACGCAAAAAAAACTTGCAAAAATGCATTATAAGATACAAAAGAAGATATTGATTTTCCGGTCACATTTTGGCATTTTTTTCTCTTTTTTCATAGGTTTCCTTTTGCAATCTCGTTACATTTTCGTAAGGACACTATTAAAGTGGGTTCTAGGCATTTTTGGGCTTCTCGGAAACAATTGCCCCCCCCCCGATAATGCAAAAGGCCCCTCTAAAGTGACACGTTATCGTCAAACACGAAAAGAATTATGTTTCAAAATACCAAGTGCTCCAGTGAAAATTCCCTCCTCTAATCGCGTTGGATTGTTTGTTGTAAATTAAAAAATCATGGATGCACCAATCAATTTCTGATTCCAAATTTGTCTATTCCTAAAAGTTAGAATTTGCAAGTTTCTATAAAAATCCAGCAATATCGTTTTCTCACCGAAAGTTTCGAATTTTTTAATTTTTCCCAGTGGCAATATCGTAAAATTGTATTAAAAAGATTATTAAAACATGTACTATTAGCTTACCAGGGTTTTTATGGACGTCTAAAAACAGTCGGGTCTTCCCCCACCCCCATAATGCACAAGGACCCCCTCAAGTGACAATTTATGCTTGAACAGGAAACAAATCACCTCCAATTCCGCTTCGCCCCTTCGTGAAAAATTCCATGCTTCAGAATATCAAGCGTTTTCGTGAAAATTACCACCTTTAATTCAACTTCATCTACTTACTCTAAAGTATTATTGAGAATCAAAAAATAATTGGTAAAATCTATGAGTTTCTGATTCAATCTTCCGAATTTTTGAAATCGTGTTTCAAAAGTTGAACACATTTCGCGAAAATTTCCGAGTTTAATGTACGTTTCTTCACCTCGATTTACGATTTTAGGTATGATTTTACGCAATCGAAAAACGCAACGTTCAAATCTTAAAAACCTCCCTGAATTTCCAGAAAAACCGCCGGAAGCCGACCACATCAGCAGCTGGACCGGGCTCGCCCTTCTCATGACAAAGCGCTTTCAACCGGGTCAGTTTCTAAAAGGCCGTAAGAGTCAGCTAAAACCCTGAAAAATCCTAAAAATGCTGTTAGTATAATTTTAATAATCTTATTAAAGTAAATAGTATTTAAAATGGTATTGTAAAGAAATAAAGTAAAGCTAGTGTCCTACTGCAATTTCAGAACTCCCACCGGCACCGGTCGCCCCGCCGAAACTGCTAGAAAATGTCCCCTTTCCCATCGGTAAGTGCTAAGAATTAAACTTGCTAAAGAAACGGTGAAAGCTACTTAAATTTATATAACTTATCGCACAAATCTTCTTATTAGCAGAAAAATGTTCAAGATTAAGCCTAGGAATAAATGAACTATTTTTTACTGGTTATCGGCAAGTCTCAAAAATGAAACTTTCAAAAAAAAAAACAATGAATGAGACTCAAGAAAAATGCGCTACTTCAGTCTCATTAACTTAACGGCCATCTATTAATATTAGTAAAAATTGTTAATGTTAAGCCATACTACTTTTTACTGGAAATGATTTGTTCCAGGATCATCCGTGTTTTTCAAAGAAGAGAGATTTTTTAATTTTATAGAATTTTATAGAAAGAGCTATATAGTGAAAAATCTTATAATTGTAGCTGCAAATTTAAAACGATCTAAACTTAATTAATTTACCCCATCAAGCAAATTTAGCATGCACCTCCGCTATCTTTAATTTAATTGTCGGTCTTCTAAAACAAATACAAAGTTTTAAAATCCCTATTTCTGTAGGTTTAAGGCCCTATAAACACGAGGCAGCGTCACAGAAACAATTTATGACCTTCTTTGTCCGTAAAACAGTTCGTGAGCCTAATTTCAGGCCTCCTCGCCCTGCCCACCCTCGACGAACAACAAAGATGCGACGATTTCCACAGCACTTTGCTGACTCCACCGGCTGAAGGTAGGCTTTTAAAAGTAAAAAAAAACGTTAAAATTCACTAAAACCGATTTCTGTCCTCTTAAAACGATGTCTGAAAGCCCTAGGCACTTCCCAGGTACAAAACGCGCGTTGATCGGTTGCTAAGCTAAACGAAATTTTTAGTTTGACAAAAAATAGAAAATTTTAAATTAGAGTAAAACACCAGTTTTTGATGCAAAAAACGTATCGATAAATTAATTTCTATCCAGCGCAAAATTCGCAAATTGCGTTCGCATACATGGAATATCATCATCGCTCCCGACAAAGACCTCCTACTTCGTTGAAACTTATAATTCGAAAGACAAACTATGGAAAAAAGCATAATTCTGATCCTTGAACCCGATACTGAAGTTGGGAGCTAAATGACTCTCGGCCGCGCCTTTCAAGAAGTGAGTTCAGCCGCGCTAAAAGAACCTTGAAAATCGTTGAAACTTACAAATCTTCAGACAAAAGGCGTTGAAAGGTCTAATTCCAAACATTGGAATCTTGTGAAAGGCTAGAAATGTCTTTAGAAACGTAAAATTCCAAACGTTCTATAGAAGCAGAGAAGACCTTGGAAATCGTTGAGACCTACAAACACCTTGTAAGACGTATGGTTATAAAATTGAAGCTGAGATTGCACTAAATTGCCTTCAAACACTGCAACTTCCACGATTGAATTAATTGCGCGACACAGGATCCTTGAAATCAATAGTGAAAAAGCTATACGTTTGCATCCGGCAAACCCCAGAATGAACTAAATACCTTGCAGACTCGAAGAATTCCAACAATTGGATTAATCCGGTTCCACAAAACCTTGGGAACGATTGAAAGTTTTTCAAATTGAAACCTATCAAAACTTTTAAAAAACTTTGTAAAAAAGTATGATTCGAAAAATCGAACCTACGAATGTGCCAATTGCATCTGGATACATCTAGCTCCTCCTAGCTCGATGATCCTTGATTGGAATCCCCGATCCACCACAAACTTCGAAAATTGTTGCAAATTGCAATTCTTCAAAAAACGGTCGATCAAAAGTATAATTCTAGAAGCGGGTACATTGATTGGACTGAATTGACCACGGGCCAAAAAAACTTGCAAATTTCTGAAACAGATAAATTTTCAAAAAGTAGGAAAAGCATGATCTAAAATTACGGATTCTGTATTATCTGCCAATTGCGGTCGAATTCATACCGTTTTCGACACGAATTTTCAAAAGTTTTGATACTTCTAAATTATAAAAAAATATTTTAAACTTTAAACTTTTAAATACTTTTAAAAATGGATTCCAAAGCCAATTCCGAAGCTTTCCCAATTCCAGGCTACGCGCGACTCCTATGTAAGGTTAGTAGTACTTTGTATAGTAGCGCTTCCTCTTTTTTCGCTTGCCATTTTTATTTCTGTTTTGGTTTGGCGTTGGGTTAGCTTTTGCAAAATTTTGCTGGCCTGTTTTCAGTTTTATAATGTCACTTTTCAGAGTCGACCGTTGATTGCCACGGCTTGCCGGCCGAAGCCTGGGGATCAGCCCCGACGAGTCCCGAGGGTAAGAATTACCCTTCTTGGCTATTCTGATCTTTGTTTTTTAGATAGCGACGACTCATCGGACATGTACTCACCGTACGGCCCACCGAGACGTGAGTTTTCTGCGGCTTTTTTAATATACGTATTTTAGGCGGAGGACGGTTCCCGCCAGCCCACAACCGGACGCCGAATTGGCCCCCGCCAGGCCCCCACCGGACGCCGAATCGGCCTCCACCAGGCCACCACCGGACGCCAAATCGACCACCGCGAGGCCACCACAATCGAACGCCAAACCGGCCCCCGCATCCGCATCCGTCTCGCTCACCGGGCCCCGTCGACCCCCGCTGCGGCTATTGGAATGGTAAAACTTTTTATTTAGAGATTTTGTAGGAGAAACTTGGGCTTTCTTTGCTCGCGATGGTCGTTTGTTGTATTTGATCCTAGTTTTCCTACGAGGTGGCCTTAAATCTGGATCACTTGGTCAGAATTCCGTTAATTTTTCCTAAATTAAGGGTGTTTTTTATCAGTCTCGGCTATCAATTCTACGGCAGCCACCTAGATTCAAAAAGCGTTTGTTGAGCAGGCTAAAACTAACGAAAATATAAATCTAGTAAAACGAATTTATTTTTTAGGACAGATTGATTAAGGAAAACTGAACGCTAGTCGTTTTTTTCACTGTGATCTTTCCGATATCCGCGCGCTGGGCCCTATAGAAGCCGTAAATCTTCGGAGATTCAACTAAAATTTAGGCTTTTGCATTTTGCATTTTCTTTCCGTGTTTTTTGACCGAATTGTGGTTTAACCTTACTCTACGGAACAAGACGGAGATTTTTTTAGTAATTACAGCCCTGTAGGGCAGTAAGAAGGTTGGATATAAAAGTGGGGGTTTCGAGGACTCACCGTTGGCTGTTATTAAACTAAACTAGAAATACTTGGTCATAGAACACCCCCAATTAGAGGAGGGTTCCAAGGTGGTTTCCTTACTAGAAGATTGTTCTACTAAAAACTAGCTTTTCTAGGTCTTTTTGATTTTTACTGGTTCGTCGGAATGTGGTGATTTTATTTTCTCTTTTCAGCATTGTTGCTCAGACCCGAGTCAAACAACGCACACCGTCCAGGCCTTCAATTTTTCTTCCCTCCAAGTATTGGCTTCATTTTGTTCTGACATTCCATTTTAGGAAACGATCGACTTTATGGCAGCTCGCGCGAGACGTTCTTGGATGGGCCAAATGGCGAGAAGTTCCATCAAACGGTAATCAATGAGTCCTATGTTTTTATTTTGAGTTTTAGCACACCATCTTCGAGCGTCCCGTGGTGAGGCTGCCGCCGCAGAATACCGCGCCGCGCTCTTCGCTCAGGCGGTAATACAATTTTGTGTATATAAAAACTGTTTTTGTTTAGATCCGGGTATTCGTTGAAGGACCTGCTGCCGATGGACGTCACCTGCTCCCATCAGCCGGTACGAGCGATGGGCTCGGTTCTTTAGTATTTCCGGAGGGAGCGAATTTTCCCTAGACTGTCAAATGCCTAATAGCACCTTGATACGCTTTTTGCTAAAATTTTTGGTAGTTTTTAAGAACAATTAGTTTAAAAACTTTAAAACCTGAAATGGTGCTAGAAAACGCTTGTTTTGCCCGCCAGATGATTAATTTTTCTGGTGTTCATAAAAATATGTAGTTTTTGAAGTAGTAAAACCCTTTTAAAACTTTTCTTCATCATAAATAACTGGTTATTGATAACAAATTGTTTAAAATGTTGAGATTTTTATCCGAAAGGGGGTCATTTCTGGTCGAGAGATCGTATTTAGTGCATTGATCATAAAAATATAAGCATTTGGAATAGTAAAAGCCTTTTAACGCGTCTTCTATCTTATAAAAATTTTAATAATGTAATTCTAAGAACAAAATTTGGATTACGCCGCCCTCGGAAATACCAAAGAACTTTTACGGATTCTATTTTATCGATACTTTTTCAGTTTGGTCAAGAGCTGTACGTTGCGCGTCGGTCGGCCCCGGTCCCAATCCCATCGCTCCGCGACTTCAACGAGTACAGGCCTGATCAACGCCGCCAAGGCGCAGAAGTTGGAGCTCAACCCGAGCCTTTCACAATCCGACCGCTCCGCGACTACGACGAGTACAGTCCTGATCAACGCCACCATGCCGCAGAAGTTCGAGCTCCACACGCGCCCCGGCCGGTGATGGTCCCTCCTCCACCGCAGATGGTACCAGCTCCCGTACTTCCGCCCCAACCCGTCCCAGTAATGGTCCCGCCGCCACCCCCGATCATAGTGGACACCCCGTTGCGATCGATGTGGACAAAGAATATCGTGCCGATGCTTGGCCAAAACACGATCGTCCAGCAGCGAACTAGCCCGGATGCTGTGGCGCCGTCGTTGCTCAATTCGGCCACGCGCAATTCTTCTCGGGACAGCGGATTCGGTGACGACACGGCGGCCAGGAACACGGGCGTCACGCCGCCGGATAGCGTCAACGGCGAAATGGCCGGCGATCGGATGTCCATCTCGCCGGAACCTGTGGTAATGGAATTTTTTTGTGTTTTCGCACTTTTATATAGATATTAGCTGCTTACTATTTTTGCTATTTCTGAAAAGGGGGAAATTAGACCAAAAATATTGAGTTTTCGGCCAAAATTACGAAATTTTTAAAATTTTCGCAAATGGTTTATCGCTTAAAATATACCTAAATTTTTCTAAAAACGCTATCGGGTATACTGGCTCTTTCTCGGCTCTCACTCTACAAAATATATCTAGACTTGAAACGAAAAAGCCGGATGCAAAAGGCGAAAGAACCGTTTTCGAAGCGGACCGTTTTACGTTTCCTAATTTTGTCAAAAATCAGTTTTGTTTTTTTAGCTGTTTAGGTGGTCATTATTATTACCGGACCGGGACTATCTGGATCCAAAAATGGTTTTTTTTGCTAAATACGAATTTTCAGGCCGTCACTGATGCCCCCGAACAACTTGTCGCCGCTGTAGATGACCGTCAACAAGCTCGAGCCCAAGATGTGCATCAGTATGAGCCCGAGGAGCCGAAGCCCCAGCTACCGCCTGTACCGCACTTGGGACAAGCGTCGAAGAACAACACCGCTAACGAGCCGGAAGTGATCGATCTGTGCTCGAGCGACGAAGAGGGAGAGCTCACAACGACGGCTTCATCGGCTTCACAAGTGGCGAAAGGTGATTTTTGCTCGCTTACAATCTCTCATTTTTGTATAAAAAGAGATTCATGGGGTAAATACCCATTTTCAAATCTTTATTTCCAGGCGCCGACCATCAGGCCGCTCAACCGGAAGCGCCAAAGCTTGATAAGCCCGCCAAGCGCACCTATGCCGAGAATATGGCCCTCGTCCAGCAGCATCTCATCGCCGAAACGGAAGCGGCACGGCAGCTCGGCCGAAAGAAAGGTAAATTTTGTTTTAGATTCTCTGGACTTGTCGATTCGAAGTTTTTGGTTAAAAAAAATTCGTAATAAATCCAATTCGGTAATATTTAAGATAATTGGTCCGGGGAGAAGCGGATGCGACGTTGAAAGGTCAAACACCTAGAACCTAGAACCTAATTTTTCTCTTCTTCTTTCCAAACCTCTTTTGTAGCTAGCTATCTAACTTTCATGCTTCTAGCTGTCTTTTTCCTTCTTTACTACCCATTTTTACTGACTAATAACTCCTTTTTTAGCCATGCAAGAGCACGGACCCACCTCGGCGGCCGCATCAACTGAATCGATCTGGGGAGTGGCGCCTGCTGCACGGCCCTCCATCTCCAGACAATCCTCCGTCGCTTCTTCATTTTCATGTACTGACAATAAATAGTTGTTGTATTTTTTTAAATTTAGCTACTTCTCTGTCGTCTTCATCGACGTATGCCTCTACCAAATCATCATCATCAACCTTTGACTACTCGCGCTCGAGGTACCGCCATGCACGCGACAGATCGCGGGAGCGGCGGCGCTATCGGAGGTCGCGAAGTCGTGGAGGGGTGCGTTTTGCCAGATTTGGTTTTGGGATTTTTCAAAATATCGTTTGCGTTGCCTTTCCCGATTTTTTAGATTTTGTTACAGATTTACAAAAAAAAGCTTGTTCATCACCCAGGCTGTTTTAATCTTCGATCTCGACTGTTCTTTGCGCTAAAGGGCCGTCAAATATACGAAAATGTCCGCTTTTTTGTGCAGAGTTAGGATGTATTTTATTTTAGTCCAAAAGAAACGCGGAAAATTCATATAATAGTCCGACGTATTGACAACAAATCGCTTTTTCGAACCTCTATATCTAGCAACCATTTCCGATTTAGAGATCCCGTTCACGCTCGCGCCGCTCTTCCACGACGCCACAACCGAAGAAATGGGTGCAACCGAGCCCGCCGAGGCGTTTCAAGGCTTCCCCAGTCCGCCCGCGGAAGGTATTTTATCCAAATTTAGCGCAACATTTAATGTTCTAGGTTGAAAAGAAGAAGCCGGAGCCCAGCCGACGCGTAAGATCCCGCTCTCCAACGATTGAAAAGCGCAAAGCTGGCCAGCCGCCCAAGGTATAGAATGCTACCTTAATTCCATGATTTTTTTTCCAGATAAGCGACGTCTTCGGCAACAATGACTCGGATGATGAAGCTCTGCTGAATCGATCCATCACCCCACCGGCTCGAATCCAAATCAACGTCAAGTCCTCGTTCCGCCCCCGCTAAAGCCATTGCCATTCTGTTGTTAATTGTATACCTCGTCCTCCTTCACCTCATTCTCCAGCTCATGCTCCTCCCCCACCCGTGACAATGCACTGATCTCCACTCAATTACCGTAGCTGTATCTCGTGTGTTTCTTTGAGATCTCTCTATGCCATCAATTTACCTCCCTGAAACCTGCAAAATCTAGCGTGTGATCTCGTCGTTTCTGTAAATATTTTGCGCTCACATTAACACAGCCGTCTTTGTATAGCTTTTTAAAAACTCTTTTGTGTCGTTCTTTACAGGAAACTGCCGGTATATTTACTTTTTTTGTGTGGCCCCACTTTTTTGGTGTTCCGGTGCGTGTACCGAACTGTTTCTTCGCGAAAACTAATAAATATTAGCCCGAAATTTGGAATAGTCGTTTACGTTGTCGACTTCTTGAATTATTGGGACAGACGGAGCCGAAGAATTATTGGATACAGCAAAAAATTTAACCGCGGGAATCGTGAAACGTCATTTTTGCGAGTCTGGATTTTGAGATTGTTTTTGTGATGAAGCCCACGCCACGGCAATCGCGGTTACTTTCAAATTACCGAATGGCGTAATCTCGAAATGTCGAAATGTCAGACCAGCTGCCGAAACTTAGAGAAACAAAGCACCCGGAAAAACCCAAATACTAGTAAAACAATCTCGACATTATGAAATTTCGATTTAATTTTGAATATTTACCTGACCGCATTCACACCAATGATTTGGGATTGTCTTTGGAAAGAAGAATCACCCAGTGAAATAGTGATCGAATTTCGATTCCGGCGAGCCTGCCTTCGAAATTGACACTGAATTTTTCGTGAAAATTATGCTTCGTCCCCTGCGATTTTCACTGAGCTGACGATAATTAGCGTAATTTTAAAATGACTTTAGAGGCTAATTTAATTTCTTTTTAGGACTTTAATCGTCTGATGTCATCAAGGCTGCTGTAATTGGCAGCTCGATTAAACCGTAGGAATTATTGGCCACTCAACATTTTAGCCACAAAACCGCAAGAAGCGTGGTTTTGAAAATAGCATCCTGATAATCGCGGCAGTGTTTCCCCCAATCTTAGTTTTTGCTCCAGAATAGTGACAAACTGCCAGCGATAAGAATAACAAATAGATTTTTTGGTGAGAATACCTACTCTTTTATTTATTCTTTTTGACTTTTTTTTTATTATTCTGGTCTTTGTTGCTTTACTTTATATTATTGGGCTGAAATTCGAACACTTCATATATTTTTTCACGCGGCGTCGAATGGAGCTAAAGAATGTTTGTAAGAATATCTAGTATGCCGAAAACTAGCCTTTACTCCATGGTCCTATGTGGGGACCAGCTTAAAACACGTTTTAGCTATACCTTTTTATATGATACTCTCTAGGTCGGAAATTGCAATGACCAGTGTACTTTTCGTGTATTTCCAGCGCTTCAAATGGCTTCGGAAAGCCGCGGAAGATATCCAAAATGTCAGGATCTAAAATGGGGGGAAATTTCAGATTTTTTAGAATTTATGAAAACTCATAGATGCCGAAATGCCTTTTCATACCGCTCACACCGTCGCGATTAATGAAAAGTATAATTCTCCTTGAAAATAGTGCATAATTAAATAGATAAAAAACGGTCCCTCACCTCGTGAAAAATCCAAAATGCCCCCCAACCCGTTGTTGTGATAGTGGGAAATTTGTGACGAACGGCGGGGGGTAGTGTTGTGTACGTGCAGGGTATGTCTGCGAAAAGATGACACAAACGGGGAGGGATTTCCATTCCGATCACTCCTCAATACAGACACACAACACGTGTCTCTATATGCACTCACCCCCCCGCTGGCGCTCTATTTTCCTGTGAAATTTGAGGGAGCGCTGAAGGGCCATTCGTCCGCGCGAAAAATTTATGGCTAAAGTTTATGCACTTCAAACAAGTCAAATTAGAGAAATAAAATTTGAAAACCATACGGATTTCTTTGTAACATAGCAACGTCAAGGCATTAAAATTATTACGAAAACTGGGCCAAAACGAAATTTCGAAACGAAACATCTCCAGCGACGAAGAATTGGATCAATAAAATTTGAAAAATCCGGGGATTTCTTTGTAACATTTAATTTCAATCACCTGAAACTCAAATTATGAAGAAAGGGCACCATCTTTTTTTCCACGATGCATAAAAGGATACAAAAGTAAATTTTTTAAAGATATTGTGAGATCAAAATCTAGAATTTTCCGGTATATTTGAATTGAATATTATTTATGTTGAATTTATGAACGCCCAAGCAAATGAGATTAGAAAATTGAAATGTGAGTGCCTTAGGATTTGCCTTGTATCTTTCAATTTTGTTGGTTTTAGTGTGGCTTTTAATTGCCGCGTGGTTATCAATAATTTTAAAAATTTCCGACCGTGTTTACCAAAAATACCAAACAGCGTGTGCCGAATTGTCATTATCGCGTCCGCTTTAATAAGGGTAATATTTCAAACACAATTTTTTAAATCTTGAAAAATGGCGCGGAATTGGCGAATTAAATATAAAATTCGTGAAAACCCCTCATATCGCCCGATCACTACACTTACCTACCGGCGCTCTATTTTTCGCCAAAAATCGGCAAATCTGGCTGGCTAAGGGAGCGCTGGGAGCGCTCCCTCAATTCTCGCGCTCCGCTCCCATTTTCCCGCTCCGCTCTCTACCCACGCTTTTCCGGAACATTCCAAATGACGGTTTTGGGGGGTGCTGATCGAGACTGCTATGATTCCGATGATTCCGCTAGTTTACGGGGTGTGATGTTTGTTCGGTTGGCCCAGGCGGACTGTTAAAATAAACGAAGCTTTTGCGCTAGCGGGGGTGGCGAGGCTTCTAAGAAGCCAATTTCTTTAAATGTAATACGAGCAAGCGTTTCTAAACCCATTATTTTATTATTCATAGACGTAAAAATTTTTGAAGATTTTTATTAAACAACAAATAATTTTAGAGGGTTTTTAGATAGTTTTACCACTCTAAGTATTGTTAATTTTATTAAGAACACGATAATTAATTTTAGCTCAATTATTCGATTTTCGCACTCGACAAAATCTCCTGTAACGCACTTGTCAAAAAAAAACAAAAAAATGGATGGAAATTTCGTTAAAATTGAAGTGTTTCTAAAAATTTATTGTCGGAGCAAACCGATTAAGAAGCAAGCCGACGTTTCGAAGCCGAAAATCGCACTCAATTGAAAGCACGCTACAGGAAACGAATTACATCTAATGTAGGACCTGAGGGTTCGCATTTTCCTAAAACATGAATATTTACCAGCGCATGAACGGCCCTGAGAAATGCTACAATACCACGAGCCATGCAAAATACCTGTTCAAAAGAAAGTGACGTTCAAACTAGTTTTTCCATGAATATGTCGGGATTTTGGTTATCTGAATTTTGGGTTTCGGAATTTCGACCTATCGGAAATTATGGTCGGAATCTGACTTTATTGGGCTGTCGGCATTTTATCTGTCGGGATTTTGGGCTGTCGGCTGGTATTCGAGCGATTCACTGTGTTGACAATCAGTTCTGAACAATAAAGCGGGAAAACACATGGAAATATGTGGGTGGTTTTTGAAAATATTATCTGTTTCATAAATTTACATTTCCGCGTCAACGAGTCTAAAGGCCATTTTCGAGTGGTTTTCTTTAGCGTGTCAAAATAGCAATGCAACAAATTAGAAAATTTCAGATCAATGCTAGTTTTCGAAATATGGGGGGTTGTTACTAAATGGAAGTTTTTGTCAAGTTTCAAAATTTTTTCATCCCAGAAAAATGTTTTTAGAAAATTGGTCGCAAAGATGAGAGCCGGCTTCACAATACACAGTGCTGTCGTGCGACAAATGCAATTCGAGCCCAAATCGAAAACTAACAAAAAGTGTAAAAGCGTGTTTCATCTCGCTTATGGCAAAATTTCTGAAAATATAGCTTAATTTTGTTATTCTCGCAAGCTGATAACCAACCGTCCCCGAAAAAATCACCAAAATTAGCCTATGGTAGCCATTGCTAGTAATAAACTGCTTTGTACGTTTAACGTTTTGGTTACAGCTAAAAAAAAGATTAGAACCTCTGATAAATGTTTCGAGAAAATTGCTCGTAAATATGAGAGCCCGTTTTCCAATCCATGCCACGCTGTGTTCTCACTAATAAAATAAAGAAAAAATTCAACAATCACTAGTTTTGTAGTTTAATTGTTTCCCATTTTCTATCAACTAATTACTTTGTGACTAAGATTCCGTGTTTCTTAAATCTGCACCACATTAAAATTGTTAATTAAATGAAGGCAGTGCCAAATATAGAGAATAGTAAAAAACATCAGATTATTTAAACAGATTAAAAACAATGTGTTTCTTAGCAATATGGCAACGCGTATCTGTTAAGACAAGTTTTTTCGAGCTGTCGGAGTTTGTAAAAAAATTTGGGGTATTACTGCTTGAAAATGTGGTGGAAGATGAACACCCGAACATCGTAAACAAGTTGTGAAACTCCCCCAAAAAATGCCAAAGCCAACAAAAACATTCGGCTTAACCGTGCCGACAACAAACAATCGAGAGGCGAGAGAGAGAGAGAGAGAGAGAGAGAGAGAGAGAGAGAAAATGAGGAGAGAGACGCCAAATAGAAAACAACCGGCGAGAAGACGTGGCGAATCATGATATTCAAATCACCAGATCAACCGGAGTGCCCTTTCCAGCGCTCCCGAACATGCAAATTAGGGGCGGCCCGCCAGCCGAGTGGAGGTACAAAAAGAAGCGTTGTGCACGCTGAATTTACCCAGTTTCCACCCAACAAATTTCACAGGGTTACGGTGGCGAGTGTACCGTATTTTTGCAATTTTTATGGCCAGAAATCTCATTTTTCTCAGAATTAAAATTGATGTTTCAAAAAATGTTCAAAAAAACAATTTTTATCTGGTTTTAATTGGTTTGATAATTATGAGAGGTTGCCTAATATTTTCTTTTCCTTTTAGCTTCTATTTAGACTTTTATAAATGTATCGATCTATTTTTGCAATTCCTGACCTCCCTGAAATTTTCAAAATTTGTGGTTTCACAGGAATGTTTTACCAAATCACTTTTTCTGTTCATTCAGCTCAATATAATTAAGAAATGAATTTTGTAACGCCGTTCCTGGGAACTTTTATTACTAGCCGGCCGGCCAAGCTGTGAGACAAACCTGATAGAAAGTTTAATGTTTCAGGGCATGGTTTAGATAATTGCAGCATGCTTTGTATAATCGAATATACCCTCTGCCAAAATCATTACTAATTGAATTTCGTCAACCGTATTTTGGAAGTAATTTAGATTAAGACCCTAGACTAAGACTTAATTAATTTCATTGAAATTTTTATAATTTTATGTGGTTTCCATGCCGCCTCCTTCTGCTGAATTTGTTTCTAATGGAAGACGACCAAAAAAAATAAATATAAATGTTTTACCAAACACTTTTTCACCCCGTTCAGCTCAATAACAATTGTGATTCGTTTCCAATCATCAATTAGGAATTCTAGACTTCAAGCGTGATGTATCTCCATAAACAAGCCGTTTTAAATATCTTAGAACTAAAGAAACGTTTTGAATGAAAAAAAAAACCTGAAAAACTAACGTTTCTTAGAGCGTAGTGAATATTTTGAGGCTGCTATCTATATAAGATTGCATGTTTTTCTTTTCTCTTAAGGAATTAATGTTTCACCGGGAAAAGCAGAGCTATTGGCGCTGCTTTCTACAATAGGTCCGTTCTTCTTTTTGATTAGGATTTTTAGCTCGACATGATATAACTACAAATGGTACCTTTCGGATACTTTCAGGTTTTGATTTTTAGATGTTTCATACTTTCATGTTAAAAAACTAGCAGAAGAATGCTCTATGACCATACGGGTATTCAACATTGTTGATAGCAGTTATATGTTTCTGAAAGAAGTGTGGACTTCTCCTTCGTTCTAGACTTATTACAAGGCACTCGGAATCGATTTAATCTTTTCGACGCTCCACACTTAAAAAAATTTTTGGCAACCTCTGGTCATTAAAATAAAGGTGCTTGCGCATTATCGGGGGTAGGAGTTTTAAACTTAAAAAACTGAACTTTAAAAAATTAAAAAAAAATTTAAATTTTATAAACGGCTTTTAGCTATTCGTCAATGCAAAAATTGTATTATCAATTTCAATTTGTATTAACGTCTAGAAAAATAGCGATTTTCACCTAAAAATATAGATTTTCGAACAAGTTTTGAAATCTTATAATTTTTGTATGTTTCCCCACTTGAAAATAGTTAAATTTTACGAAAAACGCGATAAAAACGCTTCCTTTTGCTTTACGAGGCATATAGACAAAAACTGGTTTCCGGGATCAAAATAGTATGTTTCATAATAGTATGTTTGATTTCAGCTTGAAAAACTTGCAGTGGTTTTTGCTGTAATTTCTCGCTGATCGCGCCGTTTTGCCATCCGATTTATCACGTTACCACCCGCGAACACGTCAACCAAAATGGAAGGGGGTGTCGCTTGGGGGTTGATTGATGATCGGGGAATGTAGATAAAAGGGTCAGCGAGTACGATTGACAGCACAAACACACATCTTCTCGTCTGTTGGGTGTATTTTATGACTGGAGTGATTGTCTGTTCTTACTCAATCAGCCTCCCTAAGGCCCTCTCTCTCTCTCTATCTCTCTCTATCTTTCTCTCTCTCGCACTCTCTCTCGCTGGCTCTCTCGCTATCTTTCTCTCGCTGGCTCTCTCTGACCATTCTGATCGGATCTGTTACCGCATTCGCGAAATCCTTAAAAGGTATCAGAACAAAGATGGATTTTGACCGAAAAGCATTATCTTATTTATTATGGAACTTTGAACTCAAAGAATTGCGTATCTAGCTGAAACATGTTTTGCACGTATTGAATTGCAAATCTCTCTACATCACACTCTATCTTTCTCTCCCTGTCGCTCTCCCTCTCTCGCTCGCTCTCGTATCACTACCGTAAAACCATTTAACGCTCAAATCCACCCAAGCAGATTGTAAGTTCAGTGAGCGAGCTGCAGTCTCGTACTGGTAATGGCACGAGCCACATAGCTGAAAGAACCAGGATTTTTTTTGATGTATTGCCTACTATAGTTCTTGATTAAGCGGCAGCGAGCATGAGAGAAAGAGCGAGCGAGAGAAAGAACGAGTCCGAGAGACAGTGAGATCAATAGAATCGAAACGTTCCACAGATTCTACCCTTACGATAATTCTCCCTGTCCCGTCAACGGTCTTTCGGATTCCCATGTGGTCTTGAAAAATGTTTCTGCTTGCGACGCGGTAAACGGACCTCAGTAAGCCTCTGGTAGGGTCTTCGGCAATTTTCACAAAACTCAAAACTTTTTCGGGGTTAGATTGAAAATTAAATTTCGCCAAGCTCAAATTTGGATTTTTTGGTTTTAGCTTCTAAATGTAGTGATTTTGCTCTAAACAGAAGTACCTAGAAAAAAATGATAAACCAAAAAAAAAAACATTTTCAAAAAAGCATGTTTTGAAATTTTCCAAACATGAGGCTCGTTTTCGATGGCACAGTTGGCAACTTCTCGGTCCACTCAAATTAATATCACTTTTTCTCAACATTTTAGTGAATCCAATCTTCCATCAATTTCGCGGAACCCTAGATATAAACATTAATATTTTGCGCTGTAATAATACACAAAATTCGAGCGTTCTCCACCGGGAGGGGGGGGACATGTGATGTATCGACTGTAATATTTAGGCGCCCAGGGTGTCTGAAGTATCGCTGTGGAATTTGCGTGTTTTTGCACTTGATTGGGGGGTGATAATCACTATGGAATCGCAAGTTCTTGTTTCGGAACTATGGTATATTATTGCCGTAGATTTGACCTCCCGGGCCCTATAAAAAATACAGCCTGTTGTATCGCGTACGTATTAGTTGTTTTCACTTCATTTTTACAGCTTCAATTTATTATTTCTACGCATCTGGCGTTCTACGCTCCGTGGTATTTTGAGCTATGTAACTATGTGATCTTAAACTTGAATTTAATTGACACTTACTTTTAACAATCCGGTTGTGATTGAGCAATTATAACTCACATTTATTTATAGTAAATCACGTGCTTCGTCTCATTCGCAATCCGATGATGTTTTCCACACTTAAATAGTTTGAAACATGTGTTTCGGTAAGATTTCCGACCGAAGCAGCAGAATCCCATAGCGCTCCAGCGTACCCTGAAAAGGGCTTTGAAATCTGCTCCACGTCGCCCAGCGTTGATTCCGGGAAAATAGCCAGCCGCGACCGCAACGCGACCGCGCCGCATGATATGCTGCCCCTCTTTGGACGTGAAAACGCTTGAATTTAAAAATTCTGTCGCGATCTCTGGAATCCACACCGAATTTCGATCATTCCAGACTTTTTAATTAGGATAATTGACCAGAGAATCACCGAGATCGAGAGATTGGGTGTCTTACAAGGCATTACGATATGTAATCGCCGCGCACTCAAAAAGTAGTTTTCGCCTCGAGAACATTTCGGTTTTACTAAGATATTTTTCCGTTTTTTTTGCACCGAAATCACTGTTCTGGTACTTCTCGAAGTGACCCTTTCATTTTTAACCAGTGGGTTCAATCCCATAAATTTTGACTTAATCCAATCCCCTTTAAAAATCCCTCCCGAATCCCGAAAATGTGCGATTTTGAGCAACCCCGTTGCGATATTTTTACCACCTAGCGCTTTTCATTAAAATTATTTTTCGAATTTGATGATTACCCGAACCGTTGCGGATCTCTGCTGCCATCTAGATGCTAATTTCTTGTGTTTTGATTGTCGAGATGCTTGAAAATCACTGAATATAAACCAAAATCCACCCACAGAAAAAAATGTGTTTCTGAAATTTTTCACCAAGAAATGGTGTTTGCAATACTAATCGCTAAGGGTTTTCGCATAGCTTTTCCGTACCAATCACTTTGCCAAGTCTGGTTTTTACAATTTTTATGCGAAAAAAATTCAAATAAACCCGAGAAGAATCTCACCCACAACTGAATTCAGCAGTTTCAAATATTTTTCAAGCAATTTTTTAAAATATAGGCAAAAATTCAACACAAGTTGATTTTTCTTGGATATTAATAAGGATCGTATCGATGTTTCCGCCCCTTAATATTTTTAAACCCCTTTTTAAAACAAACACCTTACGCTAAATAGAGTAGAACATTAACCGTTGCTGCCGAGTTCCTCCAAAAAGTAGGGCGTGCTTTATTAAATGTTCGTCAAAAATTTAAGCAAATTTTGGCACAACACACGAGACCTACAATTGTCGACCGGCTTGCGTTTTTTGGTCCTAGACACCTAAAACATTCTTCCAAAAACTTCCCCAAAAGCGTTTAATTTTTTAATATAAGTTCCTTGAATTTTTGAAATGTGCCCAATTTCATTGAACTCTAAATTTATTTAGATTCTTTGAACAAGTGACTTATGTATTGGATGTCTAAATTTTTTCCAGAAAAGTTAGACTTTAAATTTTTTTGTTTTCGTTCATTATTCTTCCCCGTATTTCGTTGTTAAACCTTAAAGACGTTGAAACGTCTTTTATATAAAATTCCGAAATTTCAGACAACAGCCGCAGACCACCGCACCGTTCTACCGTAACCTGAAAAACCCTCCGAAATCCCTAGCCGAAAATGCAGAACTGCATCGATGATTTCCAGAAGATGGGCCGGTACACCGTGCTCATCTGCGTACTCTGCGAGGTAAATTTTGAGATGCGATGGACCTTTCTGGCGAGTAACATCAGTACGCGGTTTAATAAGATGTAAAATATTTGAAACATAGAATATTTAAATAAAAAAATGTGAAATGAGGCTGGATTTTCGTTAAATTTAATACGACGTTGGATTGTTTCGAGGCATAATGCTACCCAGCGATTTATTTTCGGGAATTTGGACATCTAGCTTTTTTGGAACATTTGACTTTTCAGCTAATAGAGTGGAATTGAATATCACCTAGTTTTAATTTTAGTCCATTTTGTATGAATGTGCTATAATTTTATTTAGGGAATTAAATAAACAGAATTACTTAAATTAATTATTTTAGAAGATAGCTTGCCTACTATTGCTGACCGATTACCAAAAATGACTTACCTACCGACACCTTACCAAAAAATTAGAAACACTTTGCTCACTAGTATAGATTCAAGCCAGCAAAGCCATTTTATCGCGCCTACGCGTTGATTTTAGGGCGGTATAGCATAAATTTTGATTTGTTACAACACTTCCTGTTAATAATAATGACGAAAAATGTAAAAACGGGTAAAAGCTCTGAAACATATAATATCAACAATATGTTGCGTTAATGATTGCTAGTATTTTTTGATTGCGGCAAAATTTAATTTAATGTTTGAACTACCCTTGACAGTTTGGCTAGCTAAATTTGGGGCATTAGATTGATTATTTCTTCGACGCAGAATTTTCGGAAATGTGTCATAAAAATACGTAAACAGTTACTTAATTTGATAAAGTTGAAAACAATTTTTAATGGCTATTGCTTAGGTTTCCGGAAATTATATCCGACCTTTTCTTTCACCGATCAATAGCCAAAATCACTATTTCTTTTTCAAAATTTACCACTTAATTTATCTTGAAACATTTTCTAGTAAATGGAACGTTTATCAGATACGAAACCAGCTCCTAATTATCGATTTTTCATAGCTTTTGCTTCGGTAAAACCATATTATAGATTTCACCTTTCCCAATGGTATTCTATAGGCCTAAAACGACCTAATTTTATTGAAAAATGAATAATCTGCATTGTTTTTCAGCTAATCGTCCTCCTCCAGGCCGGCAACCTGATGTTCATGGTGTTTGGGGGTGAGTTCAATTTGAGTGTTTCGCCTTTTTGATCTGACCAAATCAATTTTGTTTTTATTAATACACCATCATTGCCTCTTGCTAAATTTAACATTTATTTATCCGTCTATAAATTCATTAAGATAAAAATTTTGTAAAATTATGGTTTTTAAATCTTAAAATATCTATTTAAACTATTTTAAAAAATGATATTTGTCCCATTTTACGGTAAAACGTGCTGGCTGTATGCCAATAAACCCATCACTTTTGTTTTCGGCACGCGCGGCAGATTATGCAAAGTGCCGCCAACTTTTGTTGGTGTAGATTTGCATGCGGTTTTGGATTCGAAATTTTGCAAAATTACTGACTTTGCTGGCCCGGAGCAAAATAAGCGCAAAAAATGATACTACCAAAAACATTTTCAAAATATTGGTTATTACATTACTGCGAAAATTCCTACGGAAGAAGAACCGAAATTTTCTGAAAAAGCCAAACTGACGACCGTCAATTAGATGAAGCATTAAAAATAACCGAAACACATAAAAAAGGAAAGTTTTGCAAAAGCGTGGTAAAACCGAAATTTTGCGCATAGCAATTTTAGGCAGCGGCCTAACCAACTTAATTTGAGGCATCGTTTCCATTGATCAATTAAACTTATTCTAGGTGCCCCGCCCACCCTGATTGGATGTCGTAATCGAAACGACACCGGCTGGCTCCATCCCCATCATTTGTGCGATCTATACCATCAGGGAACATGCGACCCGATCGTCGAGTATCAATTCTTGTCGGTGAATGTTGAGGTGAGGCAGGGTTACGGTATTTTAAAGGACACTGAAAGGAAAAAATCAAAACCAGGAGTGAGTTAGCGTCTATTAATGCACAGATAAAATTAATAGCAATTAAAATTGAATTCTATTACAAAAGCTGTTTCATGCCCGCCGGTGCTGAGCTCCGGAAATTTAATCCAATTGAACCGAACCGGCCTTTCAGGAAATTAGGCTTAAATTAAGCAAGCAAGTCCCAAATCTTCTAAATAAAATTATAAAATTTGAATTATAAAATTCGAAATATAAAAATTGTATTTATATCGACATAATTAATAGAAAGCAAAGCGATAGCGCAAAAGCGTATGCACTACAATATTTCCGTCGCCTAATTTTTTTTAGGAAAAGATATGTTTCGTGAAATATAATAGCCGAGAAGGCAAGATTCAGAAAATTCAGAATGTCGTTGTTTTCCTTGATTTTGATATTCCTAACGTAACATCTTAACATCCTAGTAAAACAGGTAAATTGAAAGGAAATAAACCCTCAATTTAGTATTCATAACATTTCGAAGAAGATGTTTCAAACAAAAATATTGCTGGGAGCACGGAATAAGAGATAGTTTTTCTTTTTGATTCTAGAATTGCCGGCCTTGCAAATTAACTTGAGTTTTCGCCGGTTTCCGTTTTTTTTGTGATAAAACTTAATCCAAAACCGAAGTGGATCAGAATTGATATGGAAATCTTTAGCTGAATTCCCACCGGAAAATCAAAAAACACCCGTTTATGATTCCGGTGACAGGTTTAAAAAACATGTTTCATCAAAAATATGGGTGCCCGGGGGGAAAACAAGTCTAATCCCAAGGCTTCGAATTAATTTTCAATGCAAACTGTAAAAAATGCAGCCGATGACTAGGGCAAACTAGCAGGGTTCATTCAACTTTGATAGGAACTAATTTAATAAATTTAAAAATGCAGTAAATTTTGTAATTAAGTAAAAATTTAAAAACTTGGAAAATAAAGTTAATTACAAAATTTAAACACTGATTAATATGAGTTGAATTCATTGGTAAACCGATTTAAGATGCATTTTTTTTTAGTTCGCTCAGCTGTGCGGCGAGGGGAAGCGGATCAAGGACAGCACATCTTACCAAATGATTGGGTTTGTTTTAGGCTTTTTTGAATTCTGGATGTTTCAAAATATTTCCTTAATAAATATATCGGCGAAAAGAATTCATTTTTCTTTCGTGTCGCAAAAAAAAGTCTCCGTTTAGATACATGGTCGGCGCGCTGGTGTTCGGCCAGGTGTCCGACACGTTCGGCCGAAAATGGGTAGGAATTTTTGAATGTTCAATTTGGTTCTGGTTCGTTAGCGGGGGGGGGAGGGTGTCTAATTTTCCTTTAATCATGACATGTTCGCCTTGCATGCATGTTAAAAAACGATGTTTCAAAAATTTCCAATTTCCGGGAATTTTGCACTCTATTTTATTGTCAATGGATCTCTCAAATAGCGTAACCTAGTTAAATTACATTAATATAGTAAAATATTAATTTTAGCCGATGCTTGTCTGCGTGGCTATGACGGGAGTGCTTGGCTGGGTGTCGAGCTTTGCCGGCTCGCTGCACATGTTCACGCTTTGGCGCACGCTGCTCTCCTTCTTCAACACTGGCCATATTGTGTGGGTTTTTAAAGTGTTTTTAGATCTATAAAACCCCTTATTAACGATTTAGTAAATCTACCAAGCTTGGTAGTATTTAAAAACAAAAATTGGGAATTCCTATCGATATAAAAAGCTTTTAAAACCCTGGAAAAGGCGAGTCCAAATAAAATGTTTGCGGAGATTTTTGCAGAAATCGGGTGCAAAAGAGTAATAGTTGCAATAAAACCTTTTTTAAAAAAAATTAAGCCGATGGGGCTGTATTTTTTATGGTAAGTTTACGAAACATTTTTCCACAGCTATGCAGAAAACTGTGCTTCCGCAAGATAATTTTTTCGAAACGAAAAATTTTCGAAACATATATTTTGTTTTGCGTTTTTGGAATTTAAACGCTAATTCGACGGCGATGATCGCCTAGGTCTCTGTTTTCGACTGCGCAGAAGTTTTTTTTGCTCTCCTCTACGTGTCCCTGTCATTTGGCCCGTCTCGTAGCTGCCGAGACCCGGGTTCAAACGGTTCTATTTTCCGCTGCCGAGTCCCTTTAAATCAGCGTTTTTTAGCTGCCACCCTAGCGTTGATATGCTTTCTTTTTATAATTTATAAATAACCAGGGTTGAAAAGCCGCTTCGCGACTTTTCAACCCTGGCCCCGTCTTACCCTAATACTTGTATCACTTTGCATAAACACCTGAATTCCTGTGCAGAAAAATCAAAAACGCGTCCTCTCCCCCATTATATAGGCTTCCACCACTTCCGGTGCATGCTAATTGATTCCTAACAAAGAGGCCGAGCGAGATTTTCACAAAAACTTAATTTTAATATCGAAAACAGCTGATTTTTAAAAATCTCATGTGCGTGCAGTCGTGTCATAACCATTACGCACCTAATGACGTACCATAAGTACCCTTAACCTCCTCTCCTATTGAGATACGACTGGAACATACGGACGGAAGTTGCATGCAAATGCACACACACACACACACACACACACACACACACAAACACTATTTTTTATATATAGTAGGATAATGCTAAATTCGAACCCGATTGAGAATGCGCCGTGTGCGCAGAACATAACGTTAAATGAAACCTAGTTTTTTACAAAACACGGCTCTTTTCGTCCTATTTCACGAAACATTTGTCGAGAGCCAGGCCACAATTGGGTTTGAATTCTGCCTCCCAGACCCTTAAATCAGCCTTGGCTCTAAAATATAGATTACGTTATTTTTCCCTTTAAATTACTTGCTTTTAGGTATTGCCGTGTAGAGACTGGAAAAGAATTGTAAAAATTGGCAATTATTTGAAATGTCCTGCTTGCACTCTCGGCCTAAAACCGGGCGATGTAAAATAAATGTTATCTCTAAGATACCTTTCCATGCAGCTATCTTGGAGGCAATAATAGTGTTACAGCCAACGCAGAATTACGTCCTAGAAAACGGAACATATTTTCACAAAAAAAACGAATTTTGACGTGACAATAATATGACACGAGCTTAAATCTGGTTGTCGAGTCCCAGGTGGCGGAAATGGTAGATTCTCCGGGTTACCAGCATCTTTAAAAACGAGCGGTCTTAAAAGCTGATTTTCAACATAGCTTCCTAAGGAATTACTGCAGCGCGCTGCGCGCCAAGAAATTGTACAAAAATAGGCGGGATGGAGATCAGTAGAGAAAAGAATAGCCCGGAGTCCCCCAAAAGTTTCGAAACATCCTTTTGCATAAGTTTTCAAAAATCTGGTGCAAAACTAGCAGATTGAACCGTGCTTTCTAATGACATTTTTAACTCCTTTTTCTCCTATCTAAACCCCTCATTTTCAGAATCGTAATGGTGTACATGTGCGAAAAGTTCCCGCGGCACCACCGTATGTGGCTGAACTTTGTCTTCTCGTGGTCGCCGAACCTCATGTTCGCCTCGATTATCGCCTATTATTCACAGGTATGTCCAACGGATAAGTCGGCGTATTCACAATTTTTGGAAATTGGTCAACTGGTCTTTGGTGGAAACATCTTTTTTTCGAGGTATAATCATCCGAATTAGCATTTGTCTAGCTGGATTTTCCAGTTATTTACGTGACTGCAGCATATGCTAGTAACAACACAAATATTTTCATAAGGCAAGAACACTGGTTACTGAATAAACAAAGGGTCGCAAAAGAGTTCGGTACGTCGCAATTTCTACGCTGCTAATTCGGCCGGGGTAATTCTTAGTTTAATTCACAGAAAATTCAAAAAAAATTGTATCTGTACTTTCAAGATTTTATCATTAAAAGCGGCAGAATATTAAATGGAACTTCTAGGCAAAATGCTGTGCAAATTTGGGCAGTTATTGAATTTATGATGACACGGAAAAGATCAAATTAAAAAATATGGAACAACACCCAATTTCCATCAAGCAAACTACTAAGTCGAAAAAATACCTCCGAATTATCGCCGTAAATAAGCATCAAAAATAATGACATACTAAAAATTGCCACCCAGAAAAATTGCCATGCTATTGAAATGTTTCAGAAAAGAGCAAATCAGAAAATGCTCATCTTAATCGGCTCTTAATTCTTATTCTCGTTTTTTAAATAGAAAACTAATCGATGGGGGAAGTAAAAAATCTTTTGATAAAGATTAAAATTCGGATTTTTGGTGGTTTTTATTATTAGAAAGGCATTATGCAAAGAAATCAGTTGAAATCGAGGAAAAGGAGTTATTATCCTTTTTAGGACTGGCGCACCTTCTCGCGAGCACTCAACACATTGGCCTTTGTCGCTACCGTACTTTTATGGTGAGTATCTGTTTAATGCTGATTACTGTTACCTTCGCACTCAAAAATCCCAATATCAACGTCGCGTCTGCAAAAAAATGTTTCAAATACTGCAATGGTTTTAACACCTAATCTTTCGTCTAGTTTGCGATTATCTTGCAGCCTTATCCTTTTACTCGGATTATTGATTGCATCTGATTTTTTTATTCTGATTAAAATAATTGCGAAAAACAGCCGATAAACGTATTAGCTCCATAAAGTAAGCCGTTTCGGAGATAACATTAAACATTTTTAATAGCTATCGTCAATTTATTCTAGGCTTTGATGAACGGGGCATAAATACCGTAATTAATTAAAATGTATTTATATAGGTTCTGCGAGGAGTCAATCTACTGGCTGGTGCGAAAGGGGCGTGTCGAAGAAGCGGAAAAGGCCATGAAACGCATCCACCGCATTAATGGTGACGAACTAGACGATAAGGCGCTGCAGTTGGTGTTGCAGAATGAAAAAAGGAATTATGAGGTTGTCGAAAATCCATGAATTTTTCAATTTTTTTGAATGTCAGGTCAACTTCGAATTACCTCGGGAAGGGAGTTACTTTTTTCTGAAAATGCAATTTTTCTAGTATAAATAGGTCAAATGTTTGAAAACAGTTTTTATCATTCCTAAACGTTTAAACTTGACCAATTTTTATTAAAAATACGAAAATATCGATTTTTCTCAAAAAACGTGAAACTCCTTTTTTATTTCCAATTTGTAGTCATTTAATGTGGGAATTGTAGCTTATAGTTGTGAATTGAACTACGTCTTTTAAATGATACAAATTTCCTGCTGATTTTCCTTTTTCTCAGGAGACCAAATCGACGGGCCACTACTTCTTCCACCATCTCTTCTGCACCTGGCGCCTCCTCGGCTATTCGCTGACGATGATTTTGTCATAGTAAGTCTTTTTTCCACTTTGTAAGTAAATGATTCCTAAAAATTCTGTTAAATTAAAGGTACTGTTTGATAGCACGAATAAAATATCCACCAAGGAATATCTTTTCGTGTTGCAATAATTTTCCCCGGTGTTACTTTGATAAATGCCGCAAAGTTTTGGAAGATCTGCTAATCTTGAAAAAATACATTGCAATAACTACGTTTATTACAAAATTATGCTTTTAGGAGCTACCTGTTAAGGCAGCTTTAAAATCGCTTCAGATAAACCTTATACTCTAAAACACAGAAAAATTTAAGGCAACAAATTTTGTGAAAAATATATTTCTTCTTCATTAATGCAGTCAAACTGCCTTACACATACAAATCAATGAAGTCCAATTCAACAAAGTTGCCAGAACATGAGTTTTAATTTGAATGGCGTAGCTTTTTACTAAAATCGGAATAATCTTTTAAAAATTATACTCCGAAAAGCTATTGAAGGCGCCGGACCAAAAAAAAAGGTTCAATCTTGAAAAAAACAGCGAGCGGCTTCTAATGAGGCTACTTCACGGTAAGAATCAGACCTCCCGAACCCCCAACAGACGGTGCCACGACATTTGCGGCCCGACCATTTGCGGCCCGACACTTGCGGCCCGATATTTGCGGACGCGACACTTGCGGCCCGACACTTGCGGCCCAAAGCTGTAGTTAATGACCAAAAATGAAGCTTTTAACCATCCGGAAGGCTAGTTTTCTGAATGGTTTTGATAGCTTGTCCCCTGGTATTGACCTAAAAATAAGGCTTCGTGCCACCCGGGGCCTAGTCGCTTCGGATGGGTGCGAGCTCGTACAGGGTTTCGAAATCGGGGCGCCCGAGGCGCGCGTAGCGGCCAGGCGCCCAGATTTCCTTGCCTGAAAATGCTTTAGACCCTTACTAACCCTCTTTTTCATTTTATATTGAGAAAAATGGGCTGAATAGGACGGGCCGCAAGTGTCGGGCCGCAAATGCCGGGCCGCAAATGTCGCGTCCGCAAGTGTCGGGCGCAAGTGTCGGGCCACAAATGGTCGGGCCGCAAATGTCGGGGAGCCCAACAGACACCCCTGCCAACCCCCAATGGACCCCCACTCGAACTCCCCATTCCAACCCCCAAAGACCCCCATTGGGCAAAATTCTGGCTATTTTAAGTTAATGTTTTTAAGGTTTAAAATCATTTCAGCCTTTTTCGACTTCTTTTTCAACACCCCTGAAAACCCCCCCATTCAACACCCCGCCGAACCCCCACCCTACCCCCCGCCCAACCCCCCTAGGACCCCCATCCAACCCCCACAAGTACGGGGGTAAATGGGGGGGGGTTCGGGAGGTCTAGTAAGAATAGTTTTCCTTAATTTTGAAGTTGAAAAATATATTGTTTAATTTCGACTATTTTTTGACGGTGTCATTAATGATTCTATATACTTGCAGTTTCGCCGTCTCGATCATCAACTACGGTATCATGTTCAACATGGAGCATCTCGAGGGCTCCATCTTTTTCAATACCATTTTCATCGGAGCCTTCCGATATTTGCTGAACGTCATCTCAGCCGCCGCCGATTACAATTTCCCGGCCGTCGGCAGAAAGGTAGGGTATTCAGGAAAACCAAATTCATACAGAAATAAAATTGGTCGACCACCGGTGTTCCCTCCCCCTTTGCGCGCAGTACGAGCGCAGTACGAGCGCAGTATGAATTCCCAATTGCCCAATTCCCTCAGATTGATCCCCGTAACTTTTGCGAAAGACATTTTTTTAGCTATTTTTTTCTGTTTGCCGAAATCCATAACGCCGAATCCCAAAATGCCAAATTTAAATACACCGAAATCCAAAATACCGGACGCCCGAAACACCGAAATCCAAAATATCAAAATCCAGAATACTGAAATCCGAAATGCCGAAATTTAGCGGTATTTAGAGTGGAAAAACTATTTAGAACACTTTGCAAAGTGCTCAAAAACGTTTTCCGAAAGGGAAAGTGAGTTGCCTTCTGACAAATTGCATTTCGATACATTTTACTTCGATCAATTGAAAATTAGTTTACTATTACTGGGGACTGTGTGAGCTTTTGGATTTTATCTTTCAGAGAGACGGTGGCCGCTCTTTTTTATTATGACGAATCCATAGCACCGAATCCCAAAATCACCACACACCGCCAGGGGCGTTGCCAGAAAAAAAATTTCGGGGGGGGGGCCCCCCAAAAAATTTTTCCAAAAACTTCAAAACATCGCCGAAAAAACAGCGCGGCAGGCAAAAATTTTTGAAAAAAGGTTCCATAGCTCTACAAATAGCCGTAAAAACGTGAAGGCAGCAAAATTTTGAGAAAATAAAATCATAAAGGGTTCCCCCTTATGAAATTTTCGGGCCCCGGCCGATTTCGGGGGCGGGCCCCCGGGGCCGGTATTACGCTACGTCCCTGCACACCGCACACTGCTACTGCTATGAAAACATCCTTTCGCCCAAAGGTAGAATGTTTCAAGCCATTTTCAAAGTTTTCCAAATAGTTTCAACTCGAAATATAGCTAAATTTGAGTATAATAGATTTCGCCATAATGGCTGTCCGTATTATAGATTTCGGTATTATGGATTACGGCACTATGGCATTTCGGTATAATGGATTTCGGTATTATGAACTTGGGAATTATGGATTTCGGTATAGGGGGCCAGATCATTTTTTCCAGACTGCCCACATGTTCTTCTCCGGCTACACGGTCATCGCCATTGCAATCGCTGTTGCAATCGAAACTTTTGGTGAGTTTTGAGCTGCTAATTTGATGTCATGAGATTTTCGGCAGATCATAATCATTGGAGTCAATAGCGATCATTCATTGTCGGGCGTAAACCCTACAGGGTGGCGTTTAAGTACCTGCGCGTAAGATAAGGCTCGTTCTGAACCTTGCTTGAGTAAAATTTCTGATCTTGTTGCGCTTAATGCTAGAGTAGGCTATGTTGCTCATTTTCACAAAAGCATTTGGGCCATGGGCGCTCAATTTTTTTCGGAGCTATAAAAAGTCGGCCGGCAAAATCAGGAGCGCGCCGCGGGTACCAAGCGACGAAAAGGGTCTAATAATTTCCGAGCTCTAGTTAGTTACCTGGAGTAAGCTATTAAAGGTGTAATTATAATTCTGATGACCTTTTTTATATATTTCCATGTCGTAATCGTTTCGAATGGGAGACATTAGTTGGGACAAGGCAGAAGTTGGATTTTCGTGTCGTAAGCTATTATAACATCAAAAGCTCGGTAACTAGAGCCAGCGCTGCTTTTTTAAATGTTCGCTAGGATTATTTTTTCAGAATGGACGTCATTAAACAGCCTGACGCGATACCTGGTGATGTCGGCTGGGTCGATGGTAGCTCAAATTTACGTCGTCAATGGGGTCACATGCTCGGAGGTATCATTTTTGACAATTGCTTCGATTTAAAAAAAAATGTGAGTAATGGCCCTGAGATGACTACACACACACATCAAATCTTACAAAATCAGCTATTTTCGACATTAAATTTAAGTCTTGTAAAATTTTCCGGAACCTTCCTTGTTACGAAAAATTTGCATCCGCCGGAAGTGACCGTACCCTATATAAATGGACAGAGGTAGCATTTTTCCTTTTTTGGTGATCGGAATTTGGGAGCAATTATGCACAGTGAAGCGCATCTTGGGATTAGCGAAATCGAAAAATTACAGATTTACACCATGGTTTAATAAAAAATTACAGATCTATCCGACGGCCGTCCGAAATATCGCCTACGCGACGACGCAAATCAGTGGCTCGATCGGGTCGATTCTCGGGCCGCAGCTCTTCCATTTGGTATGTAAAAATGACTTCCTATCCTATAGGCGATAAAAGTAGTTTGTTTTCTGTAATGAGGATTTTTCGGCCGGCTGCCTGCCGGCTTTCCGGCTGATTTTTGGCATGGAGGTGGAGAAACACAAATTTTTGTTTGGCGAAATTCCTTCATCTAACAATTTTATGAGCAAAAAAAAGTGAAAAACCCTTAACAAAATGGGTTTTTGCCGCGTTGTCCCAAAGTTTTCTCGGCGCCTGGAGGGAATCGGCTTGTAAGAATTTTAACTTTCTATGCTATTTATAGCGCGCAGCCAACAACCTTTCACAACGAAAATCCCCAAAAACTGTTTTGTGTACGCGAGATTCCTATGTTCCGGCCATTTTCACGCTCCGCGACGTATTAGAAAAACGATCTCTATCCCAAATTAGCTATTGTCGCCAAATTTCAGCAAAATTCGGATCAGTAGTTTTCGAGATATTTTTTCGGTGTCGGCGACTTTGAGGCCCATTTTAACCCTAAAATTCACCTTTTTAAACTTTGAAAACCCACCCCACCAGACGAATTCGACCATGCTCTTTCATATGGCGTCAGAAAGGGTCTCTCGCAAACGGCCTTTAAAGGGCACGTTCAGGGACGTTTTTTTTTGAAAAAAGCAAAGATTTTCGCGGCGGCCGGGGGTCGAACCCGGACTCCCCGCTTGGGAGGCGCGGGTGGATACCAGTCAGCCAAAGCTACAACATGGCGAGGGGGCGAGGGGCGCCCCACGCCGCAAAGGAGGGGGAATGGCCTGTCACAGCACGGGCAGGCAGTGCGCGCGGTCCCTACGTCCATAGGGTGTACACGTTGGGACGAGTACACGGCCCCTCCCTGAACGTGCGCTTTAAGTCTGGCCCTCGCTCTAGCGCCGCAGGCCAAACCCGGGAGAGAAAAACCAGTAACTAGCGCCGCAGGCTCAAAGATGGAAAAGGGCCGCGAAGCGGTCTTTTTCCACTGGTTAAGGTATAAGAACGCGGAAGCACCGTCGATTCGATTTCGCCTTCGATTAGGTCTAGAGAGTTCCACGAAAAAAAACATAAAATGTCTACAATCATGGCCAGTGGGATCTAGTCAAAAAAGGTTTAAAAAGCGCAATTTTTAGATTCATTCCTATTGGTCGGATCAGTTTTCTCTGCCAAATAGCATTGCTGAAACATAATGTTCCTCAAATTTCAGTCGGCCATTTTCGCTCTACTGCCATACATTGTGATGCTTTCACTGCAAGTTGGGGAGACGTGCTGGTAAGTGAGAGAGAGAGAGAGCGAGAGAAAGAGAGAGAGAGAGAGAGAGTGAGAGTAAGAGAGCGAGAGTCAGGGAGAGCGTGGGACAGAGAGAGAGCGAGAGAGAGGAGAGAGAGGGATAGAGAGAGCGGGATAGAGAGTAAATTCCAAAAAATTTTACACTCTAAATTATGGTTCAATCTAGTCCTGTTTTGTACAGGGACTGTAAAGGCTCAAATGTTTATCGATTTAGCATCTCTATTTAAAAAAATAAAGATTCATTTTTCAGCATTACCGTCTTCGTGCCCGAATCCAAGGGCAGACCGATGGCCGACGCGATGCCCGAACCGTACGAGCGATTCAGGTGATCGAATAAAAGTTTTGCGAATTAATGTTTTTCTTATATATTTTTATTCATAGGTAATTTGTATACCATAAAATCGCTAAAAGCTATTTGTTTCACTTATGCCTATAAATAGCACCGATTGGCAAATTTAATCGATGAGAAAGTGTTTGCGGAAAATACTGTTTAAAAAACTTGAAATGAACAATTTTTGACAATGATTAATGGTTTTCTTCTAGCCTGTGCCAACCAAAAGTCGACGGTAGCGACGCGGCCCCGCGGAAAGTGGCCCCAACCGACGAGGAGCGGGTATGACCACGCGACGCACACCACGCGCGCACGACCAGCTACACGACGCTCCTGTGGACACACCTATTACCGGCACTCATTAGTTATGATATGATTCCCCCAAACGCTTGGGAAATACCGATTTTCGGGATTGCGGTAATATTTCGGGTCGTAAATACAACCCTTATTTAAGAAGCATAGCTTGAATATTTATGGCTTTAAGAGAATTTAACTTCTATGCATCCTAAATTCAATAATTGAATTACGTTTCTATGGCCGGGAAAAATTTGAATGTTTCAAAAATATTTAAAGACCTGATTTTTTGAAACATAGTAGTTAATGTTAAGCTTCGCCTGTTTGCGAAGCTTGTAAGAATTTTAACTAAATTTTAGTTTTTCATTCTACTAACAAGGGAAGGGCAAGTACACTAACTGGAAATTCAAAAAACGCTCGCGGCTACCCCAGGTTATCGGCTAAGGGGAGCACGATGGTCTCGGCAGAATTTTCCACCGAGGCCTGTAAAGCGCGATACGGCACTTCCGGAAAAGGGGTAGTTTGCATCGGCAAAGTCACGATGCTCCCGGGGTTTATTAGGGGCTTCTATTTCTCTACCATCAGCTGCGAGTTAGTCAATTGCCAACTAAACATTTTTTGAAATATCTACATGGGTTCGGATCAGTCAGAACTTTTAATTTTTGCTTTTTGATTTTTGGACGGATGACCCACGCATTTGGCATTTCGGTAGTTCTAGTTTGTAATTTTTGGATTCGAGTTTGAATTTGAAAAAAAAACATTAAACACCCTACAAAAATAAATTTCCAAGAATGCAAAAAATTTTAAAATTCTAACGTTCGGAGCGGATCCGAACCCCTCTAGCTATTTTAAAAGACGGCTCACTTCAGTTAGAAATTGACTAACTCGCAGCTGATGGTTGAGAAATCGAAGCCCCTAAAAAACCCCCGGGAGCATGCTGATTTCACCTGTGCAAACGACCCTTTTCCGGAAGTGCCGTATCTCGCTTTACAGGCCTCGGTGGAAAATTCTGCCAACACTATCGTGTTGGCAGATAACATGGGGTAGCCGCGAGCTTTTTCCGAATTTCCAGTTAGTGTATTGCCCTTCCCTTGTAAGTCCCACACCCGAATCAAACCTTAGTAATTAAAATCGTTTCGCCGATAGACGTATGCATTACCGTAATTTTAAGGAGTACTGTAATCCCAAAAATTCGGCTTTTGCTTGCCAAAAATACCCTTGTAAATGACCGTCAGGCATTTTCGCCCGCCCCATTATATACATACTACGGCAGGGAAACGGTAATGGGTTGCAACAAAAAAAACTAATATCATTAGCAAATTCATCAACCGTAATTTTCTGACAAATCAATTTTGCGAATAGCAAATATTCAAAAAATGTGTTAGTGTGTGTTAATGTTCAAAAAGTAAATAATGCAGTCTGGTTGGAACAATTGGGCCGCGATAAGTTCCAGTAAATTGAAATACCACCGACAAATTACCGTAGCCTTGCTTCCCCCATGTTTCTCACGACCCTCATCGTCCTCTCGGTGACGAGTGTTTTTGGCTGTACCCTATTTGGAGAATTTATATTTCATTTGTGTGCAAATTCATGCAAATAAAGTTTTTTTTAGAAATGCTTGCCAAAGCATAATTGGACCAGTGAAAGTAGGCATATCAGATATCGAAAAAAAAACGCTATTTTCGACGTTAAAATCCAGTTGTTGTTCAAAAATCGGGCACCCTGCCGGAACCGTGCCGGAACTTGGGGTAGCCGATATAATGTGTGTTAGGCAGTGTTTTCATTATATTTCATCGCGGTTCGGGCGAATTATGGAAAGTTAGGGATTTCCTGGGCTCAGACGGGGCTAGTGTTGAAAAGTCGCTTAGCTAAAAACAGATTCTTTAAAAAAAGGTTTATGGGTTCGAAAAAGAGCGAGCCTCTCCGATGCAGCAAAAAGCGTCGAATTCCCTAACTACTAATTTAGATAAAAATCAATTAAATAAAAATTACATTAAATTAACCTCTCATATGAGAAAATTCGTGGACCAACCAAAGATTTGCTGGTTTACTGAAGCGCAGTTTCGAACGCCTTCGATTTCCGATCCAATTTCCATTTGTGTAGCTCCTTGAGTTCCTTCTTCACGACCCACAGCGGATACAGCTAAGCAACGAAGGTCCTGGGCGAAGGCAGGCCACGGCATAATTCAAATGACGTAGCGACGTAGCGAGTAGCATAACGTACCATCTCGTTTGCATAATGGATTGATTTAGCTGGGTAAAAGTATGATAAAATGCTTACCAAACTAAAGTTTTTAACTTTTCATTTCTATTTTATCGTTTACAGCGTGCGATTGTACGCATGTTCCGAAATTTTGTTGTTTCTCGGATGAATTTCACCAAAATTTGCTTTTATCTCGAAAATATGAGCTCGGGCGGACAAAAATACTCATATTCGGAATCTACGCAAAAGAGGCCTTAATTAGACATACTTTATGCCGGAAATAAACCTGAGATTGCCTTAAATACTTAAAAATTAAGCACGAAATGTTTCGACCCCATAAACCCTAAAAAGTCAAAGTAGGATTTTTACGATTTTGTGCTCAAAAGACGCGCCGTGTGTTCTTCTACAACTTCTATAATCGCAACTTCGCTAACAACGTCGAAAAATTTTTAAATCGGCCTTTTTATCGCAATCCCCAGCTGATTTTCGGGGCCTCCGAGGCACCCTCTCTCCGCCGGCCTTCGCCCAATGTGGTGGTCTGGCCACCGTATCCCAGCCCTGTCGTATGCGCCTTTTCTATTCCCATTTCAACTTACAGGTGGAGGAGCTGGCGAAATTCAAGGAGAACTCGAGGATCGAATGGATTCCGCGAGGTCGAGAAGTTGGCCAAAGTTACATCACGTCGGTTTTCACGACGTTGCGGGCCTTTTACTATCCGCTGGGGGTCGTGTGGAGATTTAAGTGAGTGATTTTTGATAGATGCTTTTATAATATCAGTCGTATCAAGCTTTTGGCGTCCGTCAGTGTTCAGGAAAGTTATGGTCGGGGGCAGGAGCAGGCCCGTAGCGGAACCGACATTTCGGGGGGCAAAAATTTTGGCGACCCCCCCCCGTCGCCACTTTTAAAACATCCGAAAATCGCGTCAATAATAGCGCCGCAGGCAAAAAAAATAGCAAAAAGGCGTTCGCTACACTCAAATTCGTGTGAAAACAAGGCAGAAAACGCGCCGCAGGCGAAAGTTTTTTATGAACAATTGATGCACCAATGAAAAACCAGCGCCGCAGGCAAAAAATTTTGAAAAAATAGGCTTCATATAAGTAAAAACTGTTTGAAAAACAGTAATAAACAGCGCCGCAGGCAGAAAAATTATTGTAACTAAAAATCATAAGGGTTCCCCCTTATGAATTTTTCAGACCTCTACCGATTTCGAGCCAGGGCCCCCCTGGGCCCCCCCTCCTACGGGCCTGGGCAGGAGCGTAGCTAACCCCAAGTTTCGGTGGGGGGGCAGCAAGAAAAATTGCGATAAGGTAGCAGCGCCGCCGGCTACAGAATGAAGAAAAAGTAATAAAAACAAGTTGAAAAATCATGTGGGGGACTCCGTATGTTTTTTTCGGGCCGCCGGATTTCGGGGAGGGGGGCGCCGGCCCCCACTGCCCCCTTCTACGCGACTGGTCGGGGGTCCTAAAAATGTAGGTTTTGGAAAAATTCCGGAGGTCCCCCGGAAAAACGGTGTTTTGAGGGGCGAAGTCGCGTAAATTCTGGAATCCGGTTTCCATCCACAACTTTGCCATTCGGTTTTCCGGAAGGACCGGAAGTGTGGAAGGGTCGGAAAGGATCTGGAACTGTAGAACGGGACGTCAGCTATCGAATGAGGGGTCGGCGGTTAAATGAGGGGTCGAAAGCGCATGTTTTTTGAGCATGATGTGCCACTTCGTTATTTTCTTTCTAATATTTTTATTGGCATTCAACGGGTGGAATTTTTGGGTTTTTCGAGCTGAAAAGCCGTGTAACTTCTTCAGAATGGTCCCTTAGCAGGTCTGAAAACGGGTTCGGAATCAGCCCAAAATTCAACACAAAACAGGTCTGTTGTCGACTCAAAATGCCATTCAGACTAAAAGTAGTTAAATAAAATAAAATTTTCGCTTCAGGTAAAAGTGGTGCTGAAGGGTGAGAGCACGGAGCCTCTGATGGAGCTCTTGAAGCAGGCGAAGGAAGTGGTGAGTGGAGCTTTGCAACGCTAAGCTTTTTTCAGGGTTGCTCGGCATAACTTGTCTCCGATGCCGGCTGCATACAGATCCCGGCCGGTTCGCGTAGAAGTGCTCGGCGTGTTCGGCCCGAAGGAAGCCGTCGATCCGGTGTGCGGCCAGCTGAAACTTCTCTGAGCCCCCGTCCTACTTCTCAATCTCGTTGACTAATTATTGTGAACTTTTATATACTTTCGTTGTGCAACCCTGCTGTATCGCTTTCGTTTTAGACGTCGTTGATCCGTATTAGCAGACGCAATAAAGCTTGACATTCTGCTGCTCAAATGCTTTCCTTTATTTGTCGACCGTTTCAAATTAATTTATTATCAATGACGCATTCAGTAGGGGAAGGGGGGGGGGCAGCAATTAGGTTAGTGAGGCGAGTCACTTTTTAGTCAGTCAGCCTGGGGTTCACCCTTCCTTTTGAAGCCCATCGCCGTCCATTCCACGTAGCGACAGTGATTGCATTGTCCTAAAAAAAGTATTTGCAGCCATTAATGGGTCAACTTACTTTTTTCCGAGCAGACACCTGCACAAACGTCTCCTTCTTTTTCTCGACCTGCTATTTGGCTGCCAATGGAATTTTTAGAGACGCAAATGAGTATGCAACCTAAAATATTTCACGCATGGACGGCAGGCGGGAGCACTGAAGAAGTAGGAGACTTTCTGCTGGCCCTTGCTTGGCTCACACGCGGCACATACCCCGTCCTGAATTAGGAAAGTCAAAAAGATACTAGCAATGAACGTGCCACGTAGCCTTTCGGCCTGCCAGGTGTCTTGGGGGTGGCAGCTACGGTAACCTGAAAGGTCATTTTTCCTAAAATTTATCATCTAACCAGGGTTGAAAAGCCGCTTCGCGACTTTTCAACCCTGGCTCCGTCCGATCCCAAGATGTTCTTCACTTTGCATAATTGTGCCGAATTGCGAAGACAACAAATGAAAAACACTCCCTCCATCCCTTTTTATAAGTTACTGCAACTTCCGGCGGATGCTAATTGTTTCCTAACAAAGAAGGTGCCCGGAATTTTTATAGAAACTGAAAATTAATGTTTAAAACAGCTGATTTCGTGAAATCTGATAATCGTGCAGTCATCCCAGAGCCATTACGTACCTAATGACGTATCATACGTAGCTTAGAGTTCGTCCCATATCGAGATATCCTTCGGACAGAATGACGGAAGTTGCATGCAAAGTGGCACACACACACACACACACAGACACTACTTTTTTATATATAGTAGGACCAGGGTAGAAAAGCCGCTTCGCGACTTTTCAACCCTGGCCCCGTCTCGGACCCCATACTATTCTGCCCTTTGCATAATTGTCCTCCATTCAGAAGACAAAAAAAAATGAAAAACAACCCTTTCTGCCTCTTTCTATAGGCGACCACCCACTTCCGCCCGATGCTAATTATTCCTAACAAAGAGCTTTTTACAAAAACCTAAATTTAATAGCTAAAATGGTTAGTTTTTCAAAATCTGATATGTGTGCAGTCATCTCCAGACCATTACGTACCTAATGACGTATCATACGTAGCTTAGAGTTCGTCCCATATCGAGATATCCTCCGGACAGAATGACGGAAGTTGCATGCAAAGTGGCACACACACACACACACACAGACACTACTTTTTTATATATAGTAGGATAAGAATGCGTAAAGATATAAAAAAGGCCACGGCTGTCTTTCTTGGATATCAAAGCATTTCGTGGGGTTCTCAATTTTTTCTTGTGATTTCATGACATCTTTTCACCTCCAATATATCTGAATTTAAGCTAAGATCACTACTAAAATACGCCCTATGAGATTACGAGGCACGTTTGAACTTATAGGAAAAAATCCGATTTGGCCATGAAAATCCCTTTTCGATACCTGGCCAGTTTTAGGAAAAACGATTTTTAAAAAAAGACTAGGAAAAGTGAATCTGGAAAAAAATGTGTTTAGGAAAAATGCCAATAATTCGTCTGAAAGTAACACGATATTCAGGGTAGGCTGCCGAGGAGCATTTGTCACGACGCGCACGTCGGAGTATTGCAGCCGATTGCATTTGAAAATGCGAGGGCAATGAACAGGCCTTTGGGTGTGTCACGCTTTTGTATAGCTTGCTTTCAAACGCCAGTTTACCATGCAAAGCGTTTATTCGACAAATCGTGTGGCTTTATCCGATATTCTATTCATCCGGGACCTGCTTTTGTGGAGTAAAGTTTGAAGCGGTGCTGCATCCGGAGTCGTCTGGCGGCACGGCGGCTTGGATCTTCACGCTCGTGCGAGGGACGGGGTGCACCCGCGGGACGACTTGTTCAGTCTAGAATCACGGTATTAGTTAAATCGCGATTGTTTCGCAATCTCCTAGCATTACAACAATATTGATTTTCGACCAAAATTTCAACTAATCAGCTAAGTCTAAGCTAAGTCTTTTTTTTTGTTGTTTTCCACCAGAAATTAAGTTAAATTTTACTAGACACACTATTAGAATGCCCTTATTAAAATATTATTCGGCATGTATTAAAATATCAATGCTACTAATATTACCGTCTGCTCGTCGACAGTCTTTGTTTCGTTCGCCCATTCAGACGCCGTGGTGCACGTAAACTTCTTTCCTTGCGCGGAGAGCACTTCAAGACGCTTCCGTTCCTCATCCGCACTCTCCTCCAACTGTTGCATCTAAAGGAGCACAGTAACTCATGTTCGTGGTCTCCGTTCCAAAGGCAAGACAAAAAAATTACGAGGCGAGAGATTTCTGTTTCGATGGATCGCCTCTCCTTCTCACACTGCTGTCGCAGCTGCTGCTTCTTCTCGCGTGTCTCCCTTCCGTAGACCACCATTGCCTGCAGAAACAGTTCTAACTCAGGACTGGGCTGTTAGGGCGGGAAACCTCATTATGGGCTTGTTCCTCCGCCACCTACCTATTAAGAATAAATAAAGTCTTTTTCTATTTAATTTCGTCGTTTTGATTCCCAAAAAATATTTTAACTTTTTTTGAAAATGCGAAAATCGATATTTTGTTGGTCATTTTTCCTACATTTTTGAGCAAACGGCCAAAAATTGTCGAATTTTTGATACTTTATGAGCTTTTTATGTATAAAATGGCTTTGTTTGCTCTCTGTGAATTCGCGGGGGGGGACTGAACTTTTTTCGGCCCAAGCCTAGATTTTTTATATAAATAGTGGAAGTGTTTCTAAATTGTTGATAGCTATTCCTAAGCATACAAACTTTACAAAATTTAATCAAAAAAATTTAACTTTAGGTCGAAAAATCAAATTTTTTGACCCAAAAATGACACAATTTTTTACTTTTTCAAGCGTTTTTCTAACTTTTTAAAAGTTTTTCCTATTAAAATAGGCTTAAATGTTGCTAAAAACAATGCGAAAACACTTTATATTTGATTAGTATGCCCACCAGGGCCAACAGAAAAAAAAGTGGGTTTCCCCCGCGAATTCTCCCCCATCCCCCCCGGAATACCCAAGAACCCAGTTGAGACATACGTCGTCAATCTCTTTATCGCTCCTGCCACGGAATTCGTCTTCTGCAGCGACGATTTTTTCTAGGTACTGCGGCGGCAGGTCGGAGATGTCGAGGTTGGGCAGGACGAGTTTCTGCAAAATATGGACTTCTAGTTATCATTGACACGTAATTAGACGCGCATATTGCGACGGCCAAGGATCGAAAGACGAGACCATGCAGGTGGAAGCGGTAAGACTGACGAAAATTCCGGCAATTTTAAATTTAGTGTTTAGAGCTCTTGATACCGGCGTCCCAAAAAATCAACCCCTCAAATAGCGGCCCGGAGGAAGACCGATCGGAACCATTCGAAAGCTCGCGAAAAGGCGGGAAAACAAGCGTGGTTTCATCTTTCGAAATGAATGTCAAACGGCTGGTCTGGTCTTGAAATCAGAAATTTGCATGCAGATCTCTCATAAATCTTTTGTTTCCATGGCTTTCGGCCGCTAATTTCGGCAACCGGTAATTAAAAGGTTGAATTTAAAAGAGAAAAATCGCTTGCTTTCTCGCCTCGTCGAGAGCTTTCGATAGCTGCCTGAAACGAAAAATCGGTCACTTCTCCGGCCCACTCGACGAGGCGCTTTTTTGGGGTAACCCTGTGCCAAAACTCGTCATTACCTCCAAGACGGGTTGCGGGATGGCATGGATGGTTTTAGTGGCCTCCCGATAGCTCTTCATCGCTTCCAAAATTGTCCTTTCGGTGGCCTGATTCCGCCGGTACATCTTGATGTGGCCCAGGAAGTGAAGCATGGAGTGGTGGCGCTCGTCATCTCGGGCGGCTTCTTCTTTGGCCTCAACGATACCCAACTCCTTCCACAACTTCCCCAGTCGGCGGGCCAGTTCGGAGGATTCCTGTAAATGGGTAAACCAGATAATTGTAAACAATCGTATCACAATGACCATACGGATACTCACCATCTAGGCGAGTTTAATAGAATCGGAATCTTTTAGATAAGTAGAAAATGATTGTGGATGTGGAAAGTCACTTTTATATCTATAGACAAATGCTAAGTTTGTGGAAATTTGCCAAATTCGAAACCGATATTCAATGGCCGATATACAAAACTGCATTCAAATGGAAATTTTCTTAAAATTGGCAAATGCCCATTGGCAAAATCCGCGGATAAAAAAGCTCGCTGCGCGGCGCTCTTAAAAGGCCGTTTGCCAGAGACCCGAACAAGCCTTGTCACAGTTTTTTTCGACCCCGTTTTTTTTGATGCCATGTGAAAGAGCATGGTCGAATTAGTAGGGTGGCGCTACTTCGAGATTTTTAAAAGTTCATTTTCTAGGTTTAAATGGGTGTTAAAGTTAAAAACCTTGAAAAATTGTCTCAAAAACTACTCAGCCAAATTGCTCGAAAATTTCAGACAATACCTAATCTGGGGCGCTGATCATTTTTGTAATACATTGTAAAGCACGAAAATAGCCGGAACATAGGAATACCGCGTACACAGAAAGATTTTTCGCAATTGTCTATTTAATGGGTATGCGTCGGCACTCTAGAAATACCCTTAAAAGATGCGCAATTGAATTCTACGTCGAATCATGTATTTTTTTAGCGTGGCGACAGATACCCATTAAATCGAAAAATCGCTTTTAAAGAAGCCGAACAGAAAAAAATTGCGGATTCCGGAAAAGAAAGACAGTTTTTCGGATACAGAGACCAAAACAGAACGATTGCAAAAAAGAGCAAAAAGAAATTCGATTTCTAAAAGGGGGCTGGGATTGAACTCGGGTCGTTTGCCTGGGACCTGGCGGCGCCCACTAGTGGCTTTCCCCAGTGCCCCCAGGCGGACCATCGCGGGTTCGATTCCCCACCGAGCCCAATTTCGCGTAGAAAAGATATTTCTTTTTGCTCTTTTTTGTAATGTTCTTGCCTTCTCCTGTAGAGTCAATTGAAATCCGCGGATTGCCAAAATACAGTATTTTTATGTTTGTGGAGCCATTTTAGTTGTCTTTAGAAATGTCAATTTTTCGATTTAATGGGTATCTGTCGCCAGGCTGGAAAATACATGATTCGACGTAGAATTCAATTGCGCATCTTTTAAGGGTATTTTTAGAGTGGCGACGCATACCCATTAAATAGAAAATTGCGAAAAACCTTTCTGTGTACGCGGTATTCCTATGTTCCGGCTATTTTCGTGCTTTACAATGTATTACAAAAATGATCAGCGCCCCAAATTAGGTTTTGTCTGAAATTTTCGAGCAATTTGGCTGAGTAGTTTTTGAGACAATTTTTCAAGGTTTTTAACTTTAACACCCATTTAAACCTAGAAAATGAACTTTTAAAAATCTCGAAATAGCGCCACCCTACTAATTCGACCATGCTCTTTCACATGGCATCAAAAAAAACGGGGTCGAAAAAACTGTGCCAAGGCATCATGGGGGCTGTTCGAGTGACCGGCGGACGGCCTTTTAAGCACGGCTAGTAGATAGGTGCCGGCATTCCCCCCATCAAACTATGATTGACAGGTGACAACCTGTCATAGACCGTATCAGTTGATGACCAATTAGCATAGATTGATGGGCAATTAGTGTAGATTGATGACCAGATGGCGGTTAAGCCACACGCCCTTTTGGGAATGCCGCCGAGGTGAAGCTGCGGTTTAAAGGGGTGGTGACACCCCTTTGAAAACGCCGCCGAGGTGAAGCTGCAGTTTAAAGGGGTGGTGACACCCCTTTGAAAACGCCGCCGAGGTGAAGCTGCGGTTTAAAGGGGTGGTGACACCCCTTTGAAAACGCCGCCGAGGTGAAGCTGCGGTTTAAAGGGGTGGTGACACCCCTTTGAAAACGCCGCCGAGGTGAAGCTGCGGTTTAAAGGGGTGGTGACACCCCTTTGCCATTTCGCCAGAGGAGTTAAAAAAATGCGTAAAAAGCTATTCAAGGTCTTCAGAGAGCAAAGAGGAACCTTCGGACAAAAAAGCAAAAAATAAAAAGCGTTAGCGGGTTAGAACCCTCGTTAGATTCCCCGGAGGACGCCTACTACACCACTAGGCCACCAGACCATGGTGATGGGGAGGCGGGGAAGGCCTATGAAGCTATGGCCGACAAAATGCAAAATGTATGCAAAAACTTAAAATGCTTATAACTCGGCGTGGTTATTGTATCAGCAGCTGAAAGTTACATCAATCGATTTGTCTCGACGAGCTCTAGAAGTGTGCAAATTTTCAAATCCGAATTCGATTCCGAGCTGAGACCATCTCCTTGTTAGTTTGTCATAATTGACTCTTGGTCTGTTGTTGCTTTTCTAGAGCCTATTGTTACAAAGGACATAAATTGACATAATGATGGACATAAATTCTGAGGAGACGACGACCTGGAGATCGATTTTTGTGGCTTCAGTGAACTCGAGGCGAAGGGTGGCCGTCCCCTGGACGGCTAGATCGAAGCTGTTCTCAAAGTCGTGTCTTGAAAGGGAAAGTTAGGTTATGTGTAGGTTTCGTGTACTCACCAGGGAGCAGGTCGAGACAGTACAGCGCTCTCGACTCTTTGAACTGTTTGGCTGTAATCCCGTTGGTGCGTCCGCTGGCGGTGAAACCCAAACCTAAAAAACTTAAAAGTGTTGCAAGTGCAGAGGGGCGTACCTTCGTTCATCTGCACCCAGGCAGCCATGTATTGGTCGTGGTCGTAGTCGAGGTTGAAGCCCCGCAGTGGCACCGTGATGCCGCAGAAGTCTACGAAAATGTTCTTGAGTTTGAAATGGGCCATTTTGAAACGGACTTTGGCGTAGACACCGTTGAGGGCTTTGGCCTCAATCAGACCGACGTAAATACGTCTCGGAACCTAGGCGCTGGAGAAGCAGATCAGCTCCTGAGTCTGCGTGATACCGGGCGAGAGGTGGAACGTCTTGGTGATGTTGTGTCGCATCGGGTAGGTGGCAACTTCTCCGCTAGCCAAAGCGTTGTTCATCGAGTTGATGGTGTTGTTGAAGAGAATATACTCGCAGAGTTTCAGTTTGAGGCTGGAGATCTTGATGCGCCATTTGACACCACTCTCGTCAAAGTCGTTAATCAGGAACTCGTCGGGTGCACGGAAAAGCTGCAGTGTGATGTCTAGTGTTGGACAGCACCCCAAAGAGAGCACCCCGGGGGTGCTTTTGAAAGCACCCCGGGGTGCTTTTTTTTGCACCCCGGGGTGCCTCTAAAAAGCACCCCGGGGTGGTCTGAAAAACACCCCGGGGTGCTCTGAAAAGCACCCCGGGGTGCCCTGAAAAGCACCCCGGGGTGCTCTGGAAAGCACCCCGCCCCCCATTGGGGTGCTCCAAAAAGCACCCCGGGGTGCTTTCTCGAGCACCCCGGGTGCCTTTTGGGGTGCCTTTCGGGGTGCTGTCCGGGGTGCTTTTTGGCAATGACTTCAATATATGAACTAGGCTTTTTTTGACCAAATCAGAAGCTGAACATCATCTTCGAGCAGTTCGGACAAGTTGATGCCAAACTGCTTGCAACTCATTTGGGGGTCGTTTGGTAGCATTTCTTCGAGGTTGTTCAAGGCGGCGGACGATTTCTAGGCGTTTTCTTCTAGCAGCCCTTTCAGGCTGAGCTAAGCTGCTCAAAAGCTGAAACTCGTTAAACGGATAGAACTTTTCGCGCTCTCTCAAATAATGTACTTGGCACCCCAAAATACTTAATTTCAAGCGAGATATGATGGTTTTACTGCTGCGACAACTTCGGCAAGTACGCCTTTCAGCACTAAAACGCTCCCAACTCTGTCCCCAGACGGTTTCATGTAACGTTAAGTATACCGTTGGAAAGAGCGTGAACAATGCCATAATTTAGACACTTTGACACAACTTTAGTGTTGTGGTTTAGGGCTGCTAGGGCGGTTAGAAAAAAACGTCTCGAAATCGTACGCCGCCTTGAACAACCTCGAAGAAATGCTACCAAACGACCCCCAAATGAGTTGCAAGCAGTTTGGCATCAACTTGTCCGAACTGCTCGAAGATGATGTTCAGCTTCTGATTCGGTCAAAAAAAGCCTAGTTCATATATTGAAGTCATTGCCAAAAAGCACCCCGGACAGCACCCCGAAAGGCACCCCAAAAGGCACCCCGGGGTGCTCGAGAAAGCACCCCGGGGTGCTTTTTGGAGCACCCCAATGGGGGGCGGGGTGCTTTCCAGAGCACCCCACTGGGCGGCGGGGTGCTTTCCAGAGCACCCCGGGGTGCTTTTCAGGGCACCCCGGGGTGCTTTTCAGAGCACCCCGGGTGTTTTTCAGACCACCCCGGGGTGCTTTTTAGAGGCACCCCGGGGTGCAAAAAAAAGCACCCCGGGGTGCTCTCTTTGGGGTGCTGTCCAACACTAGTGATGTCCATGCCGTTGAGGGGTAAACGGTTGGACGACGCCATCCACAGGTCCAGCGTGGTCATCGTCTGGACAGTTTTGGCGTTGCTGCACATTGCCACGCGTGCAAGATGCCCTGGGTTGTCGGCGGCCTCAGTGCCGTTGTCGACGGACGAGTAGAGGCAACTGTCACCGAGAAGAAAACGTTTAACGTCCTTCTCCTTGCAGAACTCGTTGAGAACCCAGTTGCGGTAAGACATGTAGGGTCCCGAGACTTCGACTTGAACTCCTAGGAGGACTTGTAGTTCAAGACACCCGTAACCCAAACCTGACACCGAGAGCGTCGCCTGACGCCAGAACACTTGCCGATCGCTTGGCAAGGGGCTGCTCGCCGAAACTTGCCGGCGCTGTCGGCAACCGTCTTAAAGCCTTTGCCCGCTTCGTCGACAATCTGTAAAGAATAGGTGAAATAGCGGTGGCTGGGGGAAAAAAACCTGAAAATCCACACAGATGTAGCGACGGGCCAGGTTGATGAAGTTGTGCGGTTGTTGCAGGTGAAAGGTGTAGGGACCGTCGTCGTTAAGAGCAGCCTCCAGGTTGACGTCGCGGAATCGAACCTGCACGATGCCGACGGTGGTCGGCGGGGTGCTGAACCAGTTCAGCTCAGAGCTATAGGCAAAGGCCGAGTCGTCGGAAACAGCTTTCAGCATTTCAAAGCGTCGGTGGTGAGAGCAGTCGTCTGCGCTTCGTTCGGGTACGAGTGTGCGTGTGAGGCAAAACGACGGCGACGGCTCGTTTTCGGGGTCGTCCTCTGCCTCCTCCTACTCCAGCGCCTCCGCCTCCAACCCCTAGAGCGCGGAGAGGCGTCGCCGCCGCTGCCCGGGCACGACCGCCAACCATACGTTTCTTGAGCGATTCGTAGCCCTTGTCGACCAGTTTCCCGGCGGAGGCACGAGTGTTTGCCTTCACCGACTCGCGCAAGTCTTTTCCTGCCACGACGTCGTTGAGTGTGTTGGCGGCGGTGCTGAGGAGTTCCGTTCCTAGGGTACGGCCGCTCTTCTTCAGGATCGGCATCATGCCCGTCTCAACGTTTGAGTTTAACTCAATCACCGTGAAGTTGCTCGACGATGTTTTTTTATCCTCTCTGAGGACAAAATTCATAGAATGGAGCTCGGCTTGTATTTTGTCCTCTGTGAGGATGAAACACACCCCCTGATGCCTTTTTATCCTCTCTGAGGACAAAATTCATAGAATGGAGCTCGGCTTGTATTTTGTCCTCTGTGAGGGATGAAACACACCCCCTGATGCCTTTTTATCCTCTCTGAGGACAAAATTCATAGAATGGAACTCGGCTTGTATTTTGTCCTCTGTGAGGATGAAACACACCCCCTGATGCCTTTTTATCCTCTCTGAGGACAAAATTCATAGAACGGAGCTCGTCTTCAATTTTGTCCTCTGTGAGGATGAAACACACCCTCTGATGCCTTTTTATCCTCTCTGAGGACAAAATTCATAGAATGGAGCTCGTCTTGTATTTTGTCCTCTGTGAGGATGAAACACACCCCCTGATGCCTTTTTATCCTCTCTGAGGACAAAATTCATAGAATGGAACTCGGCTTGTATTTTGTCCTCTGTGAGGATGAAACACACCCCCTGATGCCTTTTTATCCTCTCTGAGGACAAAATTCATAGAATGGAGCTCGTCTTCAATTTTATCCTCTGTGAGGATGAAACACACCCCTGATGCCTTTTTATCCTCTCTGAGGACAAAATTCATAGAATGGAGCTCGTCTTCAATTTTATCCTCTGTGAGGATGAAACACACCCCCTGATGCCTTTTTATCCTCTCTGAGGACAAAATTCATAGAATGGAGCTCGTCTTCAATTTTATCCTCTGTGAGGATGAAACACACCCCCTGATGCCTTTTTATCCTCTCTGAGGACAAAATTCATAGAATGGAGCTCGTCTTCAATTTTGTCCTCTGTGAGGATGAAACACACCCCTGATGCCTTTTATCCTCTCTGAGGACAAAATTCATAGAATGGAGCTCGTCTTCAATTTTGTCCTCTGTGAGGATGAAACACACCCCCTGTTGCCTTTTTATCCTCTCTGAGTTGCATAACTAAAGGGATAGCAACCTAATACGTCAAAGTGCCTGGGTACGGATTTCGAAGCAAAAGGACTTAGAACTGTCGAAAAAGCGTACCCAGCTGAGTTGCATAACTAAAGGGATAGCAACAGAATACGTCAAAGTGCCTGGGTACGGATTTTGAAGCAAAAGGACTTTGAACTGTCGAAAAAGCGTACCCAAATGATTTTGTTCTTCTTAAGGGATAGCAACAGAATACGTCAAAGTGCCTGGGTACGGATTTCGAAGCAAAAGGACTTAGAACTGTCGAAAAAGCGTACCCAGCTGAGTTGCATAACTAAAGGGATAGCAACAGAATACGTCAAAGTGCCTGGGTACGGATTTCGAAGCAAAAGGACTTAGAACAACCGTACCCAGGCACTTTGACGTATTCTGTTGCTATCCCTTAAGAAATACAAAATCATTTGGGTACGCTTTTTCGACAGATCTAAGTCCTTGTGCTTCAGATCCTTTTTCTCAAACTGTTTCAGTATTATTTATTCAAAGGAAGAATGAAACACGCATAAGGCACGCAGAAGAGCAAGAAATCGACAAGCGATATTTACGAAAAATTTAGATAAAATCTATATTATGAAATGGCATTGATTTTGTGGCGTGAAATGGCAAGTGAAGAGATTTTGAATGGGCATGAGAATCACAAATCAGCAATCGGAAAAATGGCAAAGGTAACTGCGGTGAATTTTTAAAAATTAGGCAATAATCATTGGATAGCCGGCCTGCACGCAGCTCTGGCAGCAGTTCATGAAGTATCTGGAACATTCGAGTAAAAAAGTGTGTTTCAGGAATTTTATGCAATAGAATTACCTAAACAATTTTAATCCAGTTTTGTCTACACTTTCTAAAATACGCTTAAAAGTAGCGCCAAATTTTGAAATATATATTTGATAACGCCTTCAAAAAATTGGTTATCAAAATACTATAATTTTTTCGTTAACTCATACCTTATTTACGTAGAGCTATTATTAAGCAAAGGGTTACCAAAATAACTTAAATATTAATATGCCCTACTCTATTTATCCCTGTCGATATAAAATTCATTTACTTTTTTTAGTTTTTTAATTCCTTGAAATAATATGTTTCCTCTCAGAACGCAACCGCGGCGCCGTTTTCTCGGTGACTACTTCATCAGTCTGTTTCACTACCTTTTTCTAGATTGTAAGCGCAAACCGAACGCTACGCAACCGCAACGCTGGTATTTATTATTTTGCAACAGCAGATGCCTGATCCTAGCTGCTAGCCCCTAGCTCCTAGCTCCTAGCTCCTAGCTTCAAGCTCCCAACTCCTGAGTTCCAGCCTCAGAAACCCGCGAATTCAATTCAATTTACCGTCGTCTAGAAAAAAATTGTTTCAAAACCGATGAATTTTGAGCTCAGCAGGAAACCTTTAATGACATGCATTATCTGTCGGCAGGGACTTAGCGTAATACAGGCCCAGGGGGGGCCCGCCCCCCCCCCCTCCCCGAAATCGGCCGGGGCCCGAAAATTTCATAAGGGGGGACCCTTATGATTTTTATTTTCTCAAAAGTTTTGCTGCCTGTGGCGCTATTTTTGCACGTTTTTACGGCTATTTGTAGAGCTATGTAACCTTTTTTTTTGAAAAATTTTTGCCTGCGGCGCTGTTTATTCGGCAAGGTTTTGAGGTTTTTGGAAAATTTGTTTCGGGGCCCCCCCCGACATTTTTTTTCTGGCTACGCCCCTGTCTGTTGGCATAAAATCCCTTAAAAAGAATTAGAAGTTTTCAATTTCAAACCATTTATGTTTAAATTTCACCAGCAATTCTAAAAACCCTAAAATTCACCGAAACAATCCAAATGGCCATTGAGTGGCAAAACAAGTTAAGACGATTTAAAATATAAACGTGTTAAAGTACTAAATCCGTTAATTATACAAATTAAGTTGGCAAGTGGTTGGTTAGAAAACGTGAAAACATACAACCAAACATAACTTAAACTATGGCTAGGGAATACAACCAATCACTGCAAAATCTATTCTTCGAAAAATTTCCGCAAAATGTTTCAATTTTTTTTCAGGGATCTAAAATTTTTTCTACAAAAATGTTTCACAAAATTTACTAGATCAGCAATTTTCGAAGTTGCTAGTAGTCTGCGCATTTTAGGACTTCAAAATACTTCTGCCCGTACCTCTTCTTGTCGCACAGCTTCATCCTGACGGTCAGGGCACAGGTGTGGCCGCGGCCCTGGTCGAAGCAGATCGTTTTCACGGGTTCGCGGTCTAAAGATCGAATTTTGCAGGCAGAAACTCAGAAAAGAGAGAGGTAATAGATTTGTGACACTGTGCCTGCTTGATTAAAACAACGAAACTGGTCGGAAAAGCCAATAAGGATGGAACACATCTTTTCAACCCAATACTTTTAAAATTAAGTTAAGATTCTTATAAGAAAAACGCCCAAAACCTACCGGTAACCTTGAGCATCATCCGATCGGACAGCAACCCGTTTGGCCCAACGGCACACGTGTATTCCCCAGCATCAGCAAGTTCAGCCTCACCGATACGCACTAATGACAGGTCGGTATTTCCCTGAAAAATCGATGTTTCGTGGGAAACTAGGAACAAGGATAGTTACAGATATTTAATTCTGCTGTCTTGTAAGCCTTTGCGTGTTCAACTTACAGAGATACTAAAATTCTCAAAAGACGTACATTAGCCTATTGAAATGCCTTTCATTCCTAATCAAGAACAAAAATGTACAAGGCTGCCAAGCAGTCAATATTTAGAAACGTCTAATGCCAAATCTTAATGGCTAAACGAAGCCGATATGTTCATTTCAATTTTATTTTTTGTATTTCACCTAATTTTTATTGATCGAGCATACATTTTCCGATTAATAAAGCATCTCACTTAATTGCATTTTTCATATCATGGAAACCTAGCAGTGATTATTTGGGGAAGCCAGCGGCCAGTTTAGAACTGATAAATCTCGGGCCAAATATTAGCTTGAAGCGAATTTCTTTTTAAAAATCGAGGCAGGTGTTTGTGGGAAACGTGTTTCAGCTTACAACAGGGATAGGTAAATTCATAAAAATTTGGTGCGATAGCGTTTTCAAGAGAATTTTTAAAATGTTTTTATGTAGAATTTCATGACACAGCTTTTTTCTTAATTCTATATTTATCCTATGAGTTTACGTTACATTACATTCCAAAAAATGTGTTAACAGTTAAAAGTAAGCTGGAAAATGCGCACTTGATAATCTGCTGGCAAGCTAGCAGAGGTTATTTACGAAGTTCACAAGCCGATTTTGGAAATATAGGCTGAAACGAAAGTAATTCTGGAGCTATTTTCGAAGATGTTTCAGGAAACCCTGATACATCCAAAATATTTTTACGCCTAGTCAATAATAGAAAGGGCTACTTGGAATCCTGACCAGCTGGCAGCAATTATTTAGGAAGCTCTCAAGCAGAATTTCTAACCATAAGGGTATGCAAAATTGACTTTAACGGTCTTCAAAAAAATGTTTCATCTAGCCTGGATAGATCTCAATGCATCTTAACAAATTTGGCTAGGCTTCACGGTAAAAATATTTCTTTCATCACCATGTTTAAACCTAAAATATGTTATTGATGTTTATGCTATAGCTATTCTTGGCGCGATTTCGAATTGAACTCTTTGTATGTTTTTAAAGCTCTACCGGATCGAATTTTTAACGTAGACCCTTTTCAATACAGAAATTTTGAAAAATCTAAGACAATAAGCTTTCCCACCGATACCCCCACCCCCGTTAACGAACCAGAACCGCAATTATATACATTTTTAAAGGATACGAGACGAAACAGGTTACGACTATATCGAAAGGCAGGATTACAAATATATATATCTTTTGGAAATCCAGGGAATTTATTTTCTTTTCCTGAACTTCAAAAAATAAGATATTGCTTAGCCTTATCTTGCCTTTTGATATAGTCGTGACCCGTTTAATCTCCACATCCTTCAAAAATACATATAAATGCTATAAAAAACAAAAGGCACTGTCGGAAAAAGCCCCAAACAGTAACTGGAATATTTTGGAACATCAATTTCAACAAAAAAATAATTTTTTTGGAATATTCCTGTATTTAATAAAGCCTTTAATAAAACGTACGACAATCCTGGTGGAGAATACGAGCAACTGTCCATCCTTGAACCACAGAATCGGCACCTCACCATCGGCGTGGCAGGCGAGTAGCACCTGAAAAATGGATAATGTTAGACACTTTCTGCGATACAAAGTATAAATTATAACTCCAGACCACTTTTATTTTTAATGTAGTTTTTCTGAGAGTTTTTATCTGAATTCATGGAGCGATAAAAATATATATGTTATACAAGTTGCTCCAGAATTTTCTCAAGTTTGATGTATTTCTAATTATTATCGAATATTTTACTCGACTTTTTTCATAGGGCTGAAACATCATAATTCCAACATATCTGATTTTTTTCAGTAAACAAACTTCCATAAAACCCGTCCAAAAAATAGTGTTTCACTGCTGGCAAAAGGATGCCAAAATTCTCGAGCGTTAGTGTTGACAATCGTACTGCCACACATTAGTAAAAATTCACTAGCTTCCAGAATTTTTGAAAATACATGCTTCACCGATTGCCCAGGCAAGGATGGCTGAATTTCGTTTAGTATCTTCATCTTGCATCATGAATGCAATTGTGATTACCAAATCGAATTTAGGTCAATACAAATTTCTAAAATTAAAATGAAATGAAAATTCCTAAAATTCTAAAATGGTTATAATTCTTCGCCAATATAAGTGTCGCACGTTGTATTTAGTGTTTTGTTATCTATAGGAAGCGAAAAAATTAAAAAATGTTAATAAAGCATTTCAAAAAACCCTGAATGTTTCATCTAATTTTTAGTTCCAAGAAGAAACTTGCGTAACTAACTGTTCAAAACGAAGTTGTGTGGTTGGTTATGATGCAAAAGAGAAACATTAAACTTTCCAGTTTTAAAGTAAGTTCTATATTTTTTATTTTGTTTATTTTTTAAATTAAGCAATCTCTGGCCGCCGACTGGCTCTTTAGAAATATGGACGGTGAGAAACCGTAGATGATAAATATTCAAATTAATTGCTTTTCTAAAACAGAGATTAAGTGATAAAAGGAGGAAGGAAAGACCGAAGGAGCTACATATTTTTCAGTCAAAGTTCTTCGAAAATCAATGTTACATAGAAATGCTTCGCGTCCCTTCTTTTCTCTCTCTCTCTCTCTCTCTCTCTCTCTCTCTCTCTCTCTCTCTCTCTCTCTCTCTCTCTCTCTCTCTCTCTCTCTCTCTCTCTCTCTCTCTCTCTCTCTCTCTCTTTCTCTCTCTTTCTCTTTCTCTTTCTCTCTTTCTCTCTCTCTCTCTCTCTCTCTCTCTCTCTCTCTCTCTCTCTCTCTCTTTCGTTCCCAAAGTTCTCGGCTAACCTCCGCGCCAATATGGAATGGCCCTGGCCGTTGGGTCGACAGAGAAATCCGGCGTTCCTCCCTCAGATTTTCCGGCTTTCCGCACGTGTGCTCGCATTCCAGCAACGAGCGGAAGCTGTAAATAATATCTTATTTTTAGGTAGTATAACCCACGGTTTTACTATTGCCAAGCGCAACAACTTCCCAAATTTTTAATGACAAATACAAAAATATCGTCTTTTGACCCAAATTTTGAATTTTCAACCTTTTTAGAGTTTTTAGGTAGTTTACATTTTAAATAAGGCTAAATTTTATTATAAACGCTATTAAAACAATTAATATTAGTTAATCGGGGTTTTTCAGTAAATGTTTTGCTCAGAAAAGGCAATGAAAAGTTTGCTGATACGCAATAGGCAAAGGTATGAAACCAATTTTTTTTTGTAGGAAAGCCTTACCTCCATTACACGCTTTTTCTACGAGTTTTGAGTATTTTCCAGCGTACCAGATGAAAAGATGCCATATCAAAAAACGACGATAAACCTATAGCCGAACAACAAACAGCGCTTAACGGCTCCGCCGAAAAAATTTTCATCTTTGAGCATAGTCAAAAAAAATTTTTTTTTAACTGAAGACGCCGTATTTTTTTTTGGTTTTTGGACTCATTTCCTTGAGATTTCCTTTGGGCTTCAACTAATGCATTAAATTTCTTACTTATTCCGGTTGCCCTCACATCCACCGTAGACGAACGGACGGCATCTGCCGGAATTCTTGTCGAAAAAGAAGCGAGGCTCCTCCCCCGGGCATGGTCCTCTCTCCCAGGTGAGTGAGCAAACGTCTGAAAAACCAGAGCATTTTGTTAAGGAAAAATGTTTCGCTCTAAAGAGTCTATGCGTGACGAGTCGAATTTTTAGTGTGTAATGTGATGCTGTCCTAAAAATTCCGGAATTCACCCGGAATATCCCTTTTTTGAAAATATTTTAAGTATTGCATTTTCCAAATTAGGCCCGACGTCAGAAGAGGATTTTATGAAACATCATTTTTCAGCCAGATTGGGTTTTAACGGATCTCAAGGACAGGCTGGCCCCAATAATTACGGAAACTCACGGTCTTTACGGGAAATTAAATTTTTGGTTTTGTAAGTTGTGGGCGGTGGAAAAATTAATCATTTAAAAAGCTTGCATTTTGTAAAGTAAAAGTAAGTATGTAAGCTTAGCAAAAGCTTTAATTAAAAATCAAATTAAAAAATTTTCACTAGTTAAATGTTTTTCTAATAAGAAATTTCTTCTATTTATTTTATGAAATTTATGAAACTAATTGAATATTTTTCTAATGAGAATTATTAGATTCACGGTGTTCTTAAAAGTAAGCTTAAAGTTAAAGTAAATCTTGTCTGTTAATTTCAAAATTTTCCATACCTTTAAAGCTTACATATTTTCCATCCCCTTCAAATTAAATATTAAATTAAATAAATGATTTCAAAAATAAAGATTAAATTAAATATTTAAAAATGCACCGTACCATTTGGCTCAATAAGCGTGAGCGCCTGCATCTTTGGCGCACATTTACCCTCGCACTGCTCGCGCGTGTCGAAGCGATTCCCGTTTCCGCGGCATCCACCATAGGTAAACTGACGGCAGCCGGCGATCTGAAAATCAATATGTTTGACGGAGAAGGTGGGAGGAATGCTAGTCACAGAGCCTTATTGGTTACAAAACTGGATGAAACATTTTTTACGAATCTTTCGGTTTCCTCTAGTGTCAAACGTAATTTTTCTCCAGTACTGCCAATTTCAGGAAAAAAATCAAGTGGGTTTAAATTATCAATGTAAATAGTGCGATTTTAACTGAGGGCTACCCTTGAGTAATTGAACCACGGGGACCGCACAAAACACCACTTTTACGCGAAACATTTTTCTCCGAATTGATTTTTCATACGTTTATCACCATAAAGATGCCGTAATCGTGTCCCTTACTGAATAAAAGCGTATTTATCCATGAACATAATTTAATGATTTGTTTATAATTTAATAGAATGTTTATTTTTAACAGTCTTTTTGGAAGCTAGTTCGAATTGGAAAAAGAATGTTATCCAAAAAGACAGTAAAAACGATTAGTTTTCGTTGTTATTACACGGTTTGTGAAAAATGATGATGGAAAGATGGAAAAATGGGGAAAAATAAAAAAGGTTTGATTAAGAATTCATGAGTGAAAGATAAATTAGGTTTCATGAATTCCAATGACCTTCTGAAACACAATTTTTGAGACATTTCACCGGAAACAATTTTTCTTCAGTTTTTCTGGATCTAAATGCCAGCCGGACTGCTTCCGAAGCCAGTTCCGTTTCCGGAGGCTGACAATAGAAGCAAATCAGCATTTTTCCAATGAAATTCGCATGTTTCATATGTTCTCAACATCGCCGGTTTTGTTTCAAAATAAGTCCGGGCAGAGAACCAACTTCTTTATCGTAGTACCACTGGGTGACAGCATCCGAGCACGGCCCCGATTCGCGTCCCATTTTGCATACATCTTCTTCACTCGCCCATGCTTGTTCGGCTCGACACAGCGCTTCGCACTCTTCGCGCGATGAAAAGCTGAAATAAGACCGTCGATCAGGAACTGAAAAAAATGAACGACTTTCGCGAGTTTTACTGACCTCGTATTGTCACTGAAACATTGAATTTTTTGTCAAAAAGTATCATTTTAGGGCATCTCTCCTTCATTTACAAAACAGGGCTAGTGGCTTTGTTACGAAATATGCTTTTTTAAACCTAATTTTTACGACTATTCTGCAGGTTTTTTTGATATATATACCACACCGTAATTCGACTCACTCATTGAATTCCATTTTCACACCGACATATCTTCAAACACTGGGTTTTTTAGCGTAAAGCGGCCTTTCTTGCCATTTCTTAGCCTCTACCCATTTTATTAATTTATAGCTTTAATTCGATCGATACAAACAGTTAATTTTTAAAATTTATAAATTTTTGTAAATTTTTTTGCCGTTTATCACTCCTTTGTAATTAGTAGGTAGCCGCGGCTGGTCCCTTATTTTTTTGATTGAAACATATTATTTATAAAACGGAACTAGATGTTTTTTAGACAAAAGCGTTTAATATTAACTGCAACTACTTATAGTTCGCACCTTCTTTTCGTATCAAGTTACCACCGAACACCGATTGCGTTGTTTCGGTCTGTTTCTACACCGAACTTCCCCGAAACACCTTTACGTTAAACGGCGGATTCCGTTTTAGGCTTTTTCAACGCAACGCGAAAATTGAAGCGCCTAAAAAAGTAAAAGTGTTGTAAGATACTCTGACGAGTTTCGTAACGAGAAACTTTAGTATTAGCCTCCATGGGTTTTTTGTCATTAACATGTAGGCGCACACGATTAGTTCTTTGTTCGTTGATACATATCATTCACAAAATATACCTAGACATTTACTAACTATTATTAAAATAGATATCAAAACCAATCATCGTTTTTCAAAACAATCCAGCAGCCCTTCGGCCATTTCGATCCGTTTTTACCCCGGACCCCGAAACACTGTAAAAGTTCCGTAAAAATTAGTGCTGGAAATTAAGATGTTTCGCAGCCAATATCTATATCAAAGATCCCTCAGAATTTAAATATGCTGAAGAGCTCCACGACCAAATTCGTGCTTCCAAATTCTTTTGAAGGTAATATTTAAAAATACTAAATACTATTAAATATATCTAATCTTAATGCATCTTCAAGAAACCAATTTTGAGCGTTCCACAATTTTAGCTCCGGACTGTACGGCTAGAATTATCGAGATTGGTAGTGTTACCAACCCCATCAAGCCTAAATATTTGCAAACACATTTTTCTAAAACGATTTTGGATTGTGGATTTGTGTTTTTCATCACAAACTTAGTTAAATTAAAGCTATTTAACAAGGATTAATAAAAAAAATCCTTAATTCAGCTTCTCCTATTGAATAAACTTTTAATAGACCATTGAACCCCAATTTTTACTGGAATCTGCTGCATAAAAGTTTCATATTTACAAAGACATTATTTTCTAAAACAGGAGTTTAATCTAAAAGCAACTTAAGTTGAAGCTATTTTAAAAAGGCCAAATCTCGCCCATTTTTCTACTTATCCAAAAAGTGTTTCATGTATTTTTTCCAAAGTAATTTTTTTTGAAAGCGATTGATGCATCAACGCTAAGTTCCGTTCATTAAATTACTTTTATTTCTATTTATCGTTTCAACTTAGTTTAGTTTGCTTTAAGCTATCTTAAACAAGGATTTCTATCAAAACAATTTCGTGGTATACTTTATCAATCAATATCTGAAAAAAGCTGTGGCCTACCGATTCAGATTTCCCCCACATCCGGTCCACATGAACAATTTGCACTCCCCGGTCTTCGCGTCGAAATTCCACTTCGACACGGCCAGCTCGCAACTTCCAACCGAAGCCGGAAGCGCGCAGACCTTCTCTTCGCGCGCGGGGCCGCAGGCGCGCAGGCAGGATTCCTGAAATTTTACATATCGGGGCGCATTAAATTGGGAGGCAAACATTTAGAATGGCACCTAGGCGAAACATTTAATTTCCAAAGTCAAACCCCGTTTTTTTTGCGATTTTATAATTTTCTAGAATCTGTATAAAATGATGAAACCGTGACAAATGAATCGCCCCCCAAATTTGGGTTCTTTCCTATTATCGGGGGGGGCGGCTTTTTGCAAGTCTAAAAATGCTTATTATTGCAATAGCTAGTGTTTTATGAAAATTTTTAGTCAAACATAACTATGTTTCAACTAGAAAACTATCAAATACATAAAACCACATTTTCGATTCAAAATTCAGGCCCAATAATCGTCGATTTTTGGTCGAAAATCCGATATTCTTGGTATTTTTACATAAAATTTGCGACGTTTTTTACGTTCACGTTAGTAAAAACTTGTGCTGCTTGCATTGGAGAATTCGGCTCTACGAAAAAAAGCTGATCCTAAGAAGCCTAAAAACAAAATTTTAGGCTTTGATGGATGGATCCATGAAACCATAAAAAAGAAGAAAATATATAGCTGTTGTCATTGTCGAAAAATTCTGCCTTACCTCGGACTCGAAATGATTAGCATTCGCATCACATCCTGTGTACATAAAGCTCAAGCAGCTCGCCGTTTCAGCATTATATCTAAAAATTAAAAAGTCATTAGCGTATGAACCAATAAAAAATTAAATATTAAATAAATTAAATTAAATAAAACCAATAAAAAACATATGATTTGACGCTGAAATTCTGTGGGTTTCGTCGAAAAATCAAATATTTCCAGTTTTTTTCAATAACAATGTTGCCTAACGTTGAAAGTCGCATATAAAAATGCAATATGCATAAAATATTAATCACAACGACAGCTAAAGCAGAGCTTTACTTTTGTAAAGAGAAGCTTTACAAAATGTGTTTCATAAAAAAACTTCTTCCCCACTCGAGCTGGGTCACTTTGATTGCGCAATTATTTTTCTACACTAATCATTTCTCCCTCTTTTTTCACGTATTTTGATGCCTAAATAGCCTCTGCTATCCTTTTAAAATCGCCGATTGTTGGTCAATTTTTTGTTAATTGAAGCGGTGAAAATGACTGAATAACGAATTTAATCCGTTAATTCAATAGGTATAAATTCGCAACATATCTTACAAAATTATTAGTATTTATTGCAATCATTTATTTTTGCAATCCAAGTCAGGATCAATTAAGCCAGCAAATACAAATCGTTTGAACCGAGTAAGTAAAACATATAAAATATTTACCGCCACTTCAACTCGCTGCCAAAGCACGATCCCTTCTGTTCGGGCAGAAGACACAAATCGGGCAATGCGCCGGCCGGTACAGCCGTAGCCACATCCTGAAATTGGCGTGTTTCAGAAAAGACGCTTTTGGAAATGCCAGAAGACTTCGAAGGAATTAATCCCCGTTATGCAGACCACATCACCAATAGCCGAAACATTTTTTGGGCGTCAAAAAATCAAGTTTTGCTTTTATTCCGTTGCATATTGCGTTTTCAAAGAGCTTTTCATAAACTTGCTTTTTTAAAACACACTTTTGCTATTTTGTAACAAAGTGCTTCGGCTAGGCTTCGCAATATATCGTAATTAAAGAGGGGAAAAATAGATATTATTTGTAGACATTAGTAAAGTAAAAATAAAAATAATTCGATTTTGTGCGCCAAACATTTCCAAAATTGCTTTTGAAAATTACGACTCGACGTTCGAGACAAGGCGTAGAATTAAAGCCGCTACGTACGGTGAATACTTTGACTGACTGACTGATACACATTTTTGACGTCAACAGAGATCAGTTTGCGTTTTGCCGTGCAGACTTAAATCTCTTAAATACGTTTTAGAGATACTAAATTAGAGATAAAATTTATAAAATACGAACAGCCAGGAGGCAGTTATTTCTGGATAAAGTGAGTGATACTATTGGGTCTTTGAAACCCCACGAAGCCAATACTTTCGATGAAACCTGCTTTTTCAAAATGACGACTGTCCAGAACAGGCATATAATTAATGCTGCACTTTTCATGATAAAAATCATATTAATGTGTCAAGGACTCTTGCAGAGGTGAAAGTCGGGGTAGGATTCGTTATTTTACGACGGCTGAACGGAAGTTCACACTACGGTGTTTGAAATGCATGGATGCCAGCACTTTGATGAAACTTGGTTTTGCAAAGTTTTTTTCAAAAAAATACGATCTTATTTTGGGATAGACTCCTTGTGCAAATGACGAGAGATTATGAATTCTCCAATCCAAAGATACTTTTGAAAATTGCGGCTTTGAATCTTCTACTTTTGTTTTATTGTACATCGTGGTGACAACGAAAAACCCTATCCGCACCTGTGCATCTACCGTTCCATTGGATCCGCGAAATCGTGACTCATCCGTGTCGTCCGTATCATCACGTAGTCGTCTCGGTTGATCTCCTTGCATTCGCTCTTCCTCAGCTTCGAGCTGTTCAGTATTTCCGAGTTCATCAACCGAAGATTCGGCACGCATCGTCAGCGCCTGAATTTGGTCATTTTTTGGCAAATTATATATTCGCAGTTTTCAAGCGTTTAACGGATTTTTCAACCAACTAGGGTGCACTTAATGACGTGAAACACGCCAATTCTTTCTCGGAAAACTACTCTCGGCTAGAAACTCGAGCAAAAAATTTATGGTGGCAACTGGATAAAAAATTTATATTTCACATCTATCTTTATTCTGAAAAACAAGACCAATTCAAGAAAATGCGAAATGCCGATGCATTTTTCGAAAACGCCGTTTTCATACCTCACCGGGTTTAGAAACTGCCAAAAAAAAGCGTTTCACGGAAAGTCTGTCAAACAAGAAAAAGAAAAATTTATGGATAATTGTGATCGAAGTAAATAAACCAAATGACTCTGAAAATTCGAAAAATTAGAAAAGAAGCGACTTTTTGAGTACGAATTACCTAGTGGTAAGGGAAATTTGACAATGCTAAAGTTAGAAACCACAAATTTTTAAAATGACATCTGCTGCAAATTTTTGTTTTGACGCCTAAGGTGGTTTCTTGAGACCTTGATTACTGTATTTAAAATGGCTGGCTATATTTTATGGATATTTTTACGTGACTCCTGCCTCCTTGAAATAAATAAACCTGATGCTGCACGGGAGCGCATTCATTCTGGCATTCATCGTGGGTGACGAAGCGATTCTCATTTCCGCCACAACCACCGTAGAAGAATTGCAGACATCGCTGCGTGGCCGCATCGAAATACCACATCGTTTCGGCTTCCCTGAAGTTTAGAACTTAATAAAACCTGATCAACAAAGAAAAGTTCCACTGGAAAGCTTAATGTTCCGACCGAAAATTTTGCCTTATATAGCTAAGATCAAACATAGGATTTTCTAAGCATTTTATCGGGGATTCGAAAATCCATGGAGTTAGCTGGGAAAAATTTTTTTCACAAAATATAAACCGTTTTCACAGCATTTGACACCGGTTTTAGATGTAAAAATTCATAAATAAAGCGAAAATTTTCAAATAAAAATGTTCGAATTTTCGAATTTTTAGGATTTTTTTGTAAGTTCTTAGCAATCAAAAACAACAAAAAATCGTTATAGAAATACACCGTTTATTTTTTAACAAGTAGGTATAGAAGGAGAAGTAAAAATTAGTGTCCTCTGCTTACCCCCCACTAACCGCACAGTACCAAATCCTTGATATTTAAAGGAGTGTTCAAGGCTTCAATATATAGATCCCCCGCCGCTTGAACATCCCTTTATTGAGAACGGGCAGAGATTGTTTGTGAAAAGCTGGAGCAACTTTAAGCTGTAAAACTATGTTTTAAAAAATGAGGTGATGTTGACCGGAGAATGTCACATAATAGGTAGTTGTTCTCTAACTTACAAGGGAACCTCAGGTTGGCACGGTGGAGTTTCGAAAAACGCTCGCGGCTACCCCTAGGTTTTCGACTATGGCGATTCCAACGCTCTTGTCAGAATTTCCTAAATGGGCCTCTGGACAGAGATACAGCACTTCCGGAAAATTATGATTTACATCCGAAAAATTAGCATTAGCGATAGGTTTATGAGGCTCTCTCATGACATATGAATCACCAGTTGAGTGGCCGAGTAGTAAGCAATTCGCTTGATAGGATGCTGACGAGGGTTCGAATCCGCTCACGATTTTTTTGTTTTGCTTTTTGACCGGCTATCGCTAATGCTAATTTTTCGGATGTAAATCATCATTTTCCGGAAGTGTTGTATCTCTGTCCAGAGGCCCATTTAGGAAATTCTGACTAGACCGTTGGAATCGCGATAGTCGAAAACCTAGGGGTAGCCGCGAGCGTTTTTCGAAACTCCACCGTGCCAACTTGAGGTTCCCTTGTTAGTTTTCGCTTTCGAAAATTCCGGTTTGATCCTTTATTACCTGACCATACTGTAATGTATTTATTTTATAACGGAAATTATCATGCTGATTTTTACCTGCACTTCTGGCCGGCTTGCGGCGCTAAATGACACTTTTGTGGCTGCAGATTATCGGCTTGTTGAGGTGGGGCCAGTCGTAGGAACTGAATAATTTTATAATTGAATTCAATAATATCGAATGTGTGAGAAATGTCACTAAAGATATTTTTTTGCTATTTGTTAACGTTTTGGGAAAATGCGCTTCAAACTACAATTCTGGTTCGTTTCATTAACAGACCGCAGAATTTCCGGGTTGCTATTATGTGTTCAACATACTTTTTTTGAAAATCCGATTGACTGATCTAATGATTTTATAGCTTCTGATACCAGCTTGATGAAAATTATAGATATGCCATTGTCTCAATTGCAAATATAGCAAAGCTTAATTTTGTTCATTTTCAAATTAAAACAACTCGTTTTTAAGATATCGATCCTTAACTCGACGCATTAATGAACTCGAGAATGGTACGGGCTCCATTTTTTTGCTAAAACATATTTTCTTGAGAGTGTGGGAGACTGATTTGGTAATTTTCATGAAACGAACCGTATATAACATTTTTATATTGTTTTAAAAATCGACAAACAACGTAACGCGGTTAAGTCATTTTGTTGCTTGTAGCCCAGAGAATTGATCTCAATCATCTTCACACATTAATTGATTCGGGAGCCACCTGCATTTCATTTTTTGTTAAGCGGCTTTTTGAAAATGAAACTGTTAATTGACATAAAAGCTTCAGATCAAAAACAATCGGCAGGTGAAAATAATGGTAAATCTGTAAATTTAATAGAATATCGTTTCTACCACCGCCCGCCATATGTTTGTTATTTTTATTTACCACAATTTGGTTTCATTAAATCCTTAAACTTATGAATATTTTGACTTACCTGTGGGTGCTCGGTTTTGACAGGCATAAAGGCAGCCATTCCGTGGTGGCGGCGCGGCGCGGCGGGGGCTGGCGCATCTGAAACAAAAAAAAACTGAAATTACGGCCATGGCACAAATAAACCAAAAAAAATCGTTATTTTCAAGGCACGCGTGTGTCTCCAATTACAGTATGCTAAAAAGCTTACAACCCACATGTGAGAAGAAACATCTTTAAATTTCACCTTTTAAACCATGACACTTTTGTAAGGTTTTTAATCACGGCCATTAGCAGAGTAAAGAATATTTGATCTGGTCGTTCTTTTTTGGCGGTAATATTGGTAGAATTCCAGCCAAAAATCCCTAGAGCGAAAATCCCGAATGGCCAAAATTTTTTTCTCTATTCTCGACGCTAGTTTCGGGTCTTTCTTTCCAGTTGCCGGAATTTTGGCGTTCTCCAATTTTGCTACAACAAAATTTCCATTTTTTCAAAATATGTCAAAATTGCTAGTTTCTTGATTTAAATAAAATTTATTAATAATTATAGTTCTAAGCGCGTTCACTACCTGTAATTAAACTCTTAAGAATGAAATCAACGCGGGAAAACGTTATTACCCCTCCGATTAAAGTAAAGAGTTTCGTCCCTTTTACTAGCCAAGATTGAACTCGTTAAAGGGACCGGCAAGGCAAAATCTTGGATGGGCGCTGCGTTTTCGGCTCAAAAAAATTCAAGATAATCAAAAAATCTGCGGCCTTGTCGATCCCTTTAAGACTCAAATAAAATTGAAAAATAAAAAAGCAGACAAAAAATAAATAATAAAAATAGATGGTTAAATGAACTAAAATGTCAGAAACATAAGACAAGCCACATAAATATTAGAAACACACCCAAACAGGGTTAATAATATAGGGGACACACAATATAAACAACAGTTTTATGGAGAAGTGGTTATTAAAAACTGAATGTTTCAAAATATTACAAAACTCGGAATTTTTTGTACGCATTAATCCAGACCGGCCGCCTGCTATAATAATTCGTAGATGAAAATCACTGAGAAGCGGGATAAATAATATTACGAGAACCTCGAAAGTTAAGGTTATCATAGGAAAAATCCGAAAGAAAAACGAGGTTTCAAAACGTTTCAAAAACGGGTAAGAGTTTACTTTACCCCCCACAGCCGAAGGGTCTCAAAGTTTTCGGTATTTTCCCTTACTTCCCCCCCCCTCCCCAGCCGTAATGTCCAGGCTATAACTTTTGATTTTACATTATTGTAGGCTCAAATTAAAACGCTTAATATATTTTTCGACGCTCCATCGAATGGCGTTGCATAAATTCCGACAAAATAAGCGAAGATACCGACAACTTTGAGACCCTTCGGCTGTGGGGGGTAAAGCAAAGTCTTACCGAAAAAGCCGAGGAAAACATGTTTCAAAAATTTCGAAAACCAGCATAGCTTTTTAAGTTTTAATGTGCGTTAGTCCTCGAATAGACAAAATAAAACAACTTAATTAAAAGAAAATGGCACACAACAAACAAGCAAAATCGAGCGTAATAAGGTTAGGGGATACAAAAAGATACACACCTTGTTAAGAAAAATTCGGGTGAAAACTTCATGTTTCGAAAATTTCCAAAACTTTTTTTTCATTCTTATAATTACTTCTGAGGATTTGTGTTATAATTAGTAAACAAAAATGGCACACAACAATCACACAAGCAAACCAAAAGAAAATAAGTAATGTGGGATTCGGTGTATTTTCAGGGAACAAAAACCGCCGGGCTCGTAAAATTCGGAATTTATTACGCAAAATCGACTTAATTAGCATACGAAACGATTCGGGAAAAGAGGAACAACAAGGCGGAGAAAATCCGGAAAATCACAATTTCGTAGAAATCGGCAGTCCGCTGGAGTGGGAGGGGTGGCAGAGAGGGCGAGGGATTTTAAAGGGGTTGGCAAGAGCGGGGTTTTACAATTTGAAAGAATTTTTGGGATTTTTCAGGGTGAGTACGGTAGCTTAAAAGTCAACTTTTTATCTTTGGCCACGGGTACCGCATATTAAAAGCTTGTAAATCTGGATCAACAAAGAGCTTTTTCGAAACATCGATTTTCCGGGGAAAACAAATTGGGATAAACATCTAAAATTTAGTTAGTTTTTTGATAATTTGCAAGAGAAGTACGCAGTATTAATTTTCGAAAAAATTCTAGATCAAGGAAATTCCACGGAACTTGATTTCTTGGTTGAAAAAATATTCCTTTAGATTTGAGCTTGGTTGTTCTGGATAGCCTTTTCAATCCAAACTACAGTACCCAACTCATAAAAATCCCATAAATTCTTCGAAATACAGAAAAATTCAGAAAAAATATTGGCGGCTTGAGAGGACTCGTAGGGACCAAAAAAAAATCTTATTTTAGCTTACGTTACGTTACGGCAGGGTACGGTATCGACGTTTCGTTGCGGGGGCAGTAGTTATCGATTATTTCGGCAGCGAAGATCCTCGATTTGTGGGGCGACAAATAGGGGTGGACAACAGTAGTTGAATAATAATAATGCAAAAATGGGCTAGCAAGTGAGGTTTAAAGGACTTCATAAAATCAACATTATTTGCGAGAAAAAGCGGGTTTCAGTTTTAATTTAATAAAAATAGGAAGAAGGGTAAAGTATTTTTTTACTTACGTCCACCGCAACGGGCCTGGCACTCCTCCAGCTGCGCGAATCTGCAAAAATCATAATATTAATTAGAAATATTGAAAATTAGCAGAATTCGGCTATATTTTACTAGCGGAAAATCAATGATTATTTTTACCTTACTTTTAATCAAGCATTATTCAACGCCTGCTGAGTTTCTTGAGTTTGTGCCATGAAACATAGATTTTTTCAAATTTGTAGCAAGACTTCATAAATCCTTCTTCAGGTTTAACATAGGCCAAAACAACCCTTTTCTTTGCCATAAAGCGTAATTAACTAATATAATTCCAGAAACTTTATTTTTATTATTTTATTTTATTCGCTGCGGTATTTGATGCGTTAAAGGTTGGTAGTAGGTCTTATTTTCCAACCATTTGATAACTTAATAAATCAAAGTTTTCGTTTGAAATTTAATTCAATTTACGGTCCGGTAGCTGCATTATTAATTCACGGTGGCGCTAAATTTTTGGTTAAAATAAAGATAAATTTTTGATTCCATTAATGCCCTAGAGGTATTGTCATAAAAGCAAATTTTTGATTGTGGACCTTTTATGAAACATATTTTTAACCATTTTTTGATAGAGCCTGGTTTTTTGATTTGAATGCAAATCAATTGTTTCTAAAGCTATTATGCCGGCTTATAAAAACATCAAAGCCTGGAAAAGGCCTAGTTGGAGCCAATTTTTGGTTCACCGAAAAACTGGATAAAGCAAGAAATTCTCTGTGATTGAGTAGCTGTTTTAATTTTGTAGTATTGTTTTTATAATGAAGATTCAAAGCAAATTCGGGTATTGAAGCACTGCCGAACTGGCGATGCAGAAAATTTTTAGTACAAGTCTTTTCCGAAACATATTTTTCAAACATGTTCCTGAAACGACTTTTTCCATTGGCAATATTCTTCTTGTGCTTGTGGCGAAATATGAGTGCACAATTTCTCAAAATCTCTCACCGGTTGGTGTTTCCGAGGCATCCACCGTAGACGAACTCCTCGCACTGGCGGGTGTGCGTGTTGAAGAAGAAGTTCTTCTGCTTGCCCGAGCACGGGCCCTGCACCTTCGGCAATTGGCATGGGTCTGAAAATACAAAAATAGAAAATGTTGTATAGATTCATTAAACTAAAAATGCCATTAATATAATATTAATACAATTCATATAGTATTAGAATACTACACACTATCCCTACTTACGGTTGAAACGGGAATAAATTTGATCCATTTTTATTCCGATTAACATAACTCAAGATAACGAAGATATCCCCTAATTTAAAAACAATGTAGATTAAATGTCGATTAATTTAAAAATATTAACCCTAAGTCTTCCCTTAATTTTTCTTAAAAAATAATTAAACGGCTTCGCATCCATAATTAATCGCTTTCACTAAAGTTTGTATGCAATACTAACCGAAACATTTAATTTCTGCATTGTTCAGTTTTGCAATTATCCAGCAGAATTGCTCTCCCCCATTAATATACCTTTTGCCGATTAAGAGAAATATGTAATATGTAGAAAGATATCCTAAATTAAATAGGCAAGTAATGTATATTAAGGAGTATCATTTGAAAAGGATAATCCCTAGATCCTCCATTAATATTTATTGAAAACTTCTCCTTTTTTAATCGAATTTTATGACCATTAATGTTGCTTAATATAATAGTTAGCATACGATATAATATATTGATTTAAAGCGAGTAGTCACCGGGTTTATAGCGTCAACGCTTCAATTTTCAAATGAAAACTCATTTTCAATGCCCATTAACCAAGCCCAAAAACGCAGAAACGGCTAACTACTGCGAAACATTTAAAGATAATTTCATTATTTAATTCGAAATGATACCTTGATGCTGTTCACAAGCGGCCTTGCACGTCTGCTCGGTGTCGAAGCGGTTGCCGGTTCCCTCGCAGCCACCGTAGTGGAATCTGGAGATTAAAATTTTATTTATTGTTATTGTTACAACAATTTGCTTGTTTTTAAAAGTTATTTTGCTAGATAAGAAGCTGATATTTTACAAGAACTAACAAATGTAAAGATAAAATTAACATACCGATTGCAAGTGCCATCAGCCTTGTTGTAGTACCACTTTGTCTGGAACTGGGTGCACGGGCCGGTCTCCTTGTTCTCGTCGCAGAGCGAGTTCGCTCCGGGACCACCCCCTAAAATACCAGGGTTACTTACGGCTGTTTACAAATTATACAAAATTATACAGCCCCTAAATATACGATAGCCAGCGTGCAAAATAGGAGGGAAGGCATGCTTTTTTTGAAGGGCATTCTCGCTTGCGCCAGAGGGAATGAAAGCGGGCACATGCCAGGAAATTTGCATATAAAATTAACACTATTTAGCTTTATTTAAATGGTTTTATTAAAG